ATTTGAACACACTAGGAAGCTTTTCACCAATATGATAAAGTGTGTTCGATACAGTCACAAAATAAATACAGATTTCATCAACTATACATCGAACAAACCATCGACGTTCATCAATCCAAAACGAACTACGAAATGAGTTCATTAATTCATCAATTTGTTCCTCTGTCGTCAATCGAACCACAGATGTATTTGTCATTAAAAAGTGAAATGTTCTCAGTTTTGGTAAATAGTTACGTATGAGATCTTCCCATTGATAACCATCAATGAAATAGGAACCTGCTATTACAATCTTCAGACAATGTAAATTCGGTATATTCCGCAAAAATAAGATGATTTTCGATAGATCATCCACAGTAGTAAAAATCTTTAAACTGGTTAGTGTTGAAAAAGATGATGTTATACAATTGTCATCATCCTCCCAATAATCAATATGTGCGTGAAGATATTTGAGATAAGGTGTATACTGAAACAATCGATTGATCGAATTCAAACTTAATTTCTCGGTAATGATAGATACATATTTGAGTGACGACGAGATCTTTGTTGGTATAAAAAATGATTGTTGCCTTTTCTTACGACTATGGAAATGACAATAAGTTAAGTTTGGCAAACTCCAAATATTATTCGTCAACAATTCGAAATCCGTTTTATTATAATCTGGAATACAACAATAGTTGAACTTTAAATGAGTAAGTTGAACAAGATGAGGCAATTCAATGGTGATGTTTAGTAGAATTTCTTTTGAACGAAGATAAGATAATGAAAGCGAACGTAAATGAGTGAATTGTCTCAATGATGGTCTGTAAGAGAAAAATAGATTGATTTGTCCCGGAGTCGATTCAAAGTCGGAAAGATGAAGTGCAAGAATGCGATCAGTAATCATTGAAATATGTTGTTGACATATTACATCAAAATTACGTTTGGATAGTACGAAGAAATTGAAGTAATAACGCCAATATTGATTATAGAGAAGAGCATTGATACGAGCATTGAGACCATAAAATGTATGAAGAAGATCACCACCATTCAAATAATCGAAGAAAGTAAGTAAGATTTCGTTAGGTAATAAGTTAAAATTCATTGCTTTCTCTTCAATACGTATAACTCACTTGTATAAATAAGATATAGTTTAACAATGTCAGACAGGTCAAAATCATAGTGACAAAAGATGATATGACTAGTCTACAATGGCCGTCATGATTGATTCTGTTGAGGACACATATCCGCCACCACATCTGACTAGTTCAAACTATTGACAAACGCTAAGAGTGTGGGTTTATCTTATTTTTCTTTTCTTAATTTTTCGCCACTAAATCATATTTATAGTTACCGGTTTCAATGATCTTGATTGTTTAATTGAAACTAAGATACAAATAAATGTAACGTAATTTTAACTTTAGCTTTCTTCTCCCGCAAGCTCAAATGTCCTTTTAAAGGTTCCCTCTTCTTCTTCCAATGTACTTTTTTTTCATCAACAGTGTGAATTATTTAACGTACAATGAAAAAGTCTTTGTAAACAAACACCAGATGTCGAAAGAACGACAAAAGAAACGCTACACATTTGCCACGTGCTCTGTTTATATATATGTACAGTTCGTTTAATTATAAGAAAAGAAATTTTGTCACTGTATTTATTTTATTTACCTGTATTTTTATCTGCTTAAAATCGTTTATGTTTTGCAAATGCAGTCCATTGTAATGAATTTGAAAGTAACGTAAGATTTCTTTATTTTAAATATAGAGTTGAAAATTGTACATCGTTTTTTTTTAACTAACAAAAATTATTAGAATATCAAAGATGCGTCAGATTGGCTCGAAAAGTGTATAGATAGAGAAGTTCAATCTGAATAGTTTCATAAAAGAAAACCTTTAATAATAATTTAGTTTTGACCGTAGAAGTACATTTGATTCGTCATTTTGAAATAGCTAAAAATGGCTAAACATTTTTATGAAAATATTTAGAATGAACTCACGTTAATTTTAACGAACAAAATATATTGCAGCAAACGATTGTTTTCATTTTCAGAAGTTAGAATACTGTCGTATTCGTGATTCGGTTAAGTGCGAAGTAGATTATTATTGAACATTTACGATCATAAAATTCTAGAACTTTCCGTAAAATGCTCCATAACCTTATACACCATCATGGAACTCTTCAAAAAAGCAAACAATACTATTTGTATGGTGTTATTTTCATGGGATTCTTAGTTATATTTCAATATTATCATTGTTGTTTTGTTACAAATAAAAAACCAGATTTATTACGGTTGTTCAGAATGGAAACCAATTCAACTTTATGGATGCCCATGATCTACGAACATCGTTCGCAAATACTCAACAGTAAATGTAATGATTCGTACACGTTAGAAAATAGCATAACAAATTGTTCGTCTGCCAGTTTGATACGTAAATATCCATGGCTTAAGGCAGCTCTTTTTTCTCTGCAATCTCAATCTTTGATGTATTGTGCTATTCCAAAGGTAGCATCAAAAACTCTTATTTCAGTAATAATGTATGTTCATGTTCGTGATATTGTAACCCATCTCAGTAATAATTCGACAAATATTAATATTAAGAAAACTCGACCAGAACAACTGATCAATATTCCTAAACTCATCAATCAACTTCAAAAGGTATGACGCATACATAAAATGACAGTATTTATATTTTAATCTGTCATTTTAGAATGAAATTCCAATTCCAAAAACAGAAGGATCGATTTCTTTTGATTCATTGATGCAGACTTATCTTCATCTTCTTCGTTTTGAAAGTATCAATAGTGCGTCTCCGTCTCTATATTTCAATCCGTGGAGCTTAAGTTTAAAAGAAATATTTCGTAGTGTGGATCTCAAAAGTATATCGAATCTATCTGATATATTTTCTCCATCCTTCACTCGAGTTATGTTTGTTCGACATCCATTTGCACGTCTAGCATCGGCTTATAAAGAGAGAATCGCCATACTAGAAACAGATAGAATTCAACGAGAACCTCATTACAATAGCATTCGCAAGTTAATCTGTCGTCGATATACACACACTCGTTGGATTATTGATCCATTACAAGAGGATGATCCATGTGAAGACTTTATTCCTTCATTCAAGCATTTTCTTGAATATATTCTCACGGATACAAATACATTTTCTGGAATAGCTCTAATGGACGCACATTGGCAGCCATACACAGTAATTTGTCAAGTATGTAAATTTAAATATAATTTTATTGGTAAATATGAAACATTCGACAATGATTTTAATTCCTTGCTAAAACGTCTCAATATATCCGATTGGAATAATGAAAAGCGACGTGGCGCATCCGGTCATAAGACATCGAATTATCAACAGTTGTTTTCATCCTTACCAGATAATCTTATCTGTCAACTTAAACGTCTCTATAATGATGATTTACAGTTTTTTAACTATCGAATAGAAGATTATGTGAATCGAACAACGTTAACTTGCTGATCATCATCATCTAAAACAGTAGAAGTATTCATTTTTCGTATGAATGATTCCATCCTTCTTGTTTATGTTGTATATAAGAGCAGCAATTATTCTCACAATATAACTCATACAGTATTATTTATTTTTCTTTTGTAATACAAAAATATTCGAATATTTGTCTGTTGTCATTGTTTATTTTCTTTCTCTATAATACATTCAGTGGATCATCTAATATATTAAAAGTAAAAATTAGGTTATAGAGAATATTTGAGGGTGTGGGTGGGGTGGGTGTGGGATGGAAAGAATAGCCACTCACACTCGCAGCTATACCCGCACCCTGACTATTCTTTCCATCTGATACCCATACTCACACCCACACCCAATACAAAGCCTTATTTCGTAAGAATACTTTATGAGCAGAATGTGACGATCGCTATTAACTTGAAGAAATACGTTGAAATGATTAACGAACATTTGATGAGAAAGTTTTTAAGAAAATATTATGCAGGAGTGTCTTTTAATCAAACGAATCCTATGTTTTTCTCGAAAGACATTTCGTCGAAACATTTTTTGTCGAAAAATTTTCGGCGACAATGCATTTTGTCGACGAGAGATAACAACTTTGTTCTATCTTTTCTGTTGCTATTATGAAATGTTGAAGGTGTGGGTATGGGTTTAGATTGAAAGTAAAGATAATTACACATCTACACGTACACCCAAATTTCCAACAATCTCACATTCGACGAAAAACATGAGTACCAATCAAACAATAGCACACGTACCTATGACTACAGAAAAAATGGTTACAGTTTGAAAAAAAGGAAAAAACCAAGACGATAATAATGGGAATGGGAATCATCCAAACGACAACGACGGATGTAGTGTGGGTGAGTGTGGGTTTGGGTGTGAGTGTGAGTGTCGGTGTGGGTGTAGGTAGATGTCTCTCTTTCATTCACGCTTTTATGCACACCACCCTACACCAACACCCACATCCTTCCAAGCAAACTCCGAATCGTGTTTCGATAGTCTGAATCCTATTTGAACATTTTCGGTCGAACTCGATCATCCCAAGAGCCTCGAAACGTTCGTTACGGATCCGGGGTCTGTTGAATCCCCTTTGTAAAAAAGGAAGACGTTGGACCGATGTGGGCAGAATGAAAAAAATAATATTAAGATAAGAAGGATAAGAATCTGAGAAAACCTAGGCATGGAGCACAGTCTTGCACTATCATTCTCATATGTAAAATTTATTATCATAAGATAAGAATATAGCAACACCTTTCATGTTGAGAATAATATTAGTCATTTTCTGTTACTTACGTGAGAGTAATAGACAAACAGAACGGAGCTTCGAAGAATAGTGTGTTCTTTTTTTTGCATTTAAGTTTCATCTGAAACATAATATGCACACCAATCAAGTTTACAGTGAGCTTATTACTGTAAATAATGGATCACACAAATGGTGGCACCGCCGTTGGGTTAAAATAATCGGCATTTCCGTTCCTGTGTTAATAGTTTCTTCTGTTACTCTTGCTCTGGTATTAAACTTCATCGTTTTTGCACCGAAGAATTCAGAAACTAGTACCCCTGCCGCAACATCATCATCACCACTAACAACAGCAGTATCGACACCACCATCATTATCAACAACAACACCACTAGTGATACCGATCACAAGTTTACCACAAACAACAACATCACTAGTAACATCAACCACAACTTTACTACAAACAACAACAACACCAGTAGTGGCACCGACCACAACTTTACCACAAACAACGGTTACGATCACAGCTCAGCACTTAGGTAAGCTACAGAGTAACGTTCTTTAGTCTCCTTAAATAACATTTTTAAATCAGATATAAGTAGTTGCTTTGCATCCCAAATTTTTCCATATCTAACTAAAAGTTACGTTAAAAGAACAGTGATCTTCTCATGAGTGATTCAATTGTTATCTTAAGAAGAAACAGATAGAATAATTCCTATATGCACAATTTTTCACCACGATCAAAGATCACATGGTTTTGTTGACATCAATGCAACAAAATCTATTTTTCCTCTTTGTTTGATATCATAACATATCCTGCTTTTAAGTATAATGAGAACAGGAAAAAAATCATTTTGGCCCAAAGGAGCGCACGAAAATACCAGTGAATTTTCCTTCTTTCCCTTTCGTGTGTGAATATAAATAGTTGTATATAATAAAAAGGACATTAATCCTTATGAACATTGTAAGGACAAGCATAATATACAAACCTGTTTCATCATATGTCATCCTCGCTTACGATTCTTTATCAAAAATGTGAAACTTATTTTGGTACCGTATCAAGAAGAATTTTTTGTAACAAGTTTAAGGCTTTTTGCATTCCTCAAAAAGTTCGAAAAAGTTTGAATCAAAAGTAAGAAACGATTTTCATTTTTTAAAATCTAAAACGTTTCGAACATGATTGCATCAATTTGAGAGTTCCATAAGAGACAGTTTTCGAGAATAAATACAATCGAATGTTTCTGTCTAGGATGGTCTGTTACCGGTAATATGAACAATGCACGAGTTTATCATACAGCATCCGTATTACCAAATGGAAGGGTATTAGTTACTGGTGGAAAGCCTGATAGCAGCGGTATTTGGAACAGTGCTGAGCTGTATGATCTATCAACAGGTATTTGGATAACTACTGGTAACATGACTGATGTGCGAACATATCATACAGCATCTGTATTATCAAATGGGAAAGTATTAGTTAATGGTGGAATTAGTTATGATTTAAATAGTGCTGAGCTGTATGATCCATCAACAGGTACTTGGACAACTACTGGTAACATGATTAATGGACGATTTGAGCACACAGCATCTGTATTATTAAATGGAAAAGTATTAGTTACTGGTGGAAATGACATTAAAGATATTGTTTTGAATAGTGCTGAGCTGTATGATCCATCAACAGGTACTTGGGCAACTACTGGTAACATGAATAATGCACGAGAATATCATAGAGCATCTGTATTATTAAATGGAAAAGTATTAGTTACTGGTGGACGTGTTAATAGCGATGATTTTCATAATGCTGAATTATATGATCCATCTACAGGTACTTGGACAATCACTGGTAACATGACTAACACACGAGAACAGCACACAGCATCTGTATTATCAAATGGAAAAGTATTAGTTACTGGTGGAATAGGTAATGGTGGTAGTTATTTAAATAGTACTGAGTTGTATAATCCATCATCAGGTACTTGGACAACTACTGGTAACATGGCTAATGGACGACATCAGCACACAGCATCTGTATTATTAAATGGAAAAGTATTAGTTACTGGTGGATGGTATTATGGTATTTTAAATAGTACTGAGTTGTATGATCCATCAACAGGTATTTGGACAACTGCTGGTAACATGGCTAATAAACGGAATGATCACAGAGCATCTGTTTTGTTAAATGGATTAGTATTAATTACTGGTGGACGTGATGGTGCCGATGGTATGCATAGTGCAGAATTATATTAATTATTTCAAACAAATTAACGTTCAGCTATACTATTCTTTTTCTTGCAAGTAGTCCTAATTCCAAACAATGCTTTAGTTAGAAAAAATGTCAACTTGTGACGTTCGCTAACTGTTTCTTTCGATACTTTTACTTAATTATCACACATTTTAATATTATGTCTCCAATAAAAATAAATATCTTTGTTTTTCTAACTTTATATATTAATTTATTATAGTTAACGAAAGTTACAATTCATACGATAATTTGAATTATCCTTTCAAATGTTCTCTTAGTTTTACAGTACAGTACTTTATAATATTTAAGTATTCATTGGATTTAGAATGTATGCTCGTTGGAACATTTTAGCTATAAAAAGGTTTTGAAATAAGTTCATGGATGAAAATATCTTGAGGATGTAGGTATTTGCTTGTTTTCGCATCTACACCCATACCCACCATGCTTTTTATAAGCCTGTTCGTCAACAAAACAAAGTTTATTTAACAATTCTGATGATTTTGGTTATAGAACTGATATAAATTCAACGATTCATAACAGACGTTACTGTTTGAAATGAGAACATGCACCGAAAACTTGTTTTTATTAATATCTTCTGTATATGTGTTTATAATTTTCACGAGAGAAACGTACATGTAAGCAACTGATGATATTAGTACTAAAATTGTTAAAGTATATTTTCATCACTGAATGTTATATTTTATCTAGTTGACATGAGAATACAAATCATAAAATAAACTTATATGGAAAGTTATTGGAGTGAGCACTTTATAAGCTGAGAACATTGAGTGAAATTATTCCTGATAAGATTTGACCTAAGATTGAATACAGAAAGGTCAACCAAACAGTGTACGAAACTGGAAAATGTTTCACCTTTTAAAAGTCCACTAATCTCCAAAAAATAATCATTTATAATTTCGTATTTATTTTTGCAATTTCTCTTGGAAACTCAGTATCTCGAGAATGAAAGCACACGACATGAATCCTTTTCGAGGTCTTCATTTTGCATCGACGTCTATTTATAGTTAAAAGAAAGCGTGTAAGCGAATTTACCTACTGAATATGTTCCTTCGTTTATTTATTTTTTCGCCTGTTAATTTTAAGCAATATGAATTACATGTTTGAGATGGCCCATGTCCTTACAATCGCTTAAAAAACGGTGATTAATCGAAACGATAATCGCCCGCTTAATCGCCGATTTTTGTACGAGAAGCGATTAGTCACGATTTTATGCCGATTTTGTTGAAAACTGGCAAAATCGGGGCGATTTTCTTGACATGGGATGGAATAAGCAATCAGTATATTATTTATCTTATCTTCTATTACACAAATAGTTCGTTTTGAATTATTTATTTTCTTTGCAAAAGTTTCCGAACTTGCAAATAAATGAGAATACGAAATTTGTATAAAAATATTTTTTTATTTATTCAAGAACGTGATATATAAGAAACTTTATAATTATATAGTTTGAACCTTTTTATAAGAATTAAAATAAAGTTTATATGGATATTTTTTGTTATTAAATATTATTTAAGAATTTATTCAGCGAAGAAGTTCTATTGTTATTATGAATTGCGAAAAAATAAAAGGTTTATGAATTCTCTCATAGTAATTTGCAAAACTATCACTCCGAAGAAAGAAACGGTTGATAACAAAGTATTGAGGTAATATAGCATCAGGAGAACTAATGAAATATTTTTCATTTACATAATTTCATCTAGGAAATAATTGTACTGCATCTACCAAGAGAATATATCCAAGTATTAGATCGCTTTTAAATCAAATGTATGTCCAGTAGACAGAGTTCAGCCAATTATTAAATATTCGACATTAGTTTACTTTTTCGATCTTCTAATTTCGAATTATCTGTATTTTACATAATTTTTGATCTATGGATAGAGAAATTGAATATTGATTTATAAATATACATCATTAATCTCAAAGCACTAAAAAAAACGTCTTTTTTACAGATCATCAACTTTCTATAAAAATTCGAATACGCTAATAAAAGCCGGTTCATTTTAATTTAAACTTTAAGAGATTTCTTCTAACAATGAGATTAATGTATAGATAAAATTACAGCTTCTAAAATAATCTATTGTGAGATATTTAATAACTCATTAAGATCTATCTATTGAACAAGTAACGTTCATCAAAACTCGATTTACTTGGTCCTAGACTGTCGCGGTCTGCATGCGGATATTACCATCGAGAGTGTGGATGTCGACATACAAAAGATCAGTCCCCCCCTCCACACCCGAGAAAAACTTCTCTTTTTAATATATATATAATCTTAATATAACAGAATGATTAATTCTTTCTAGCTGATGAAATCCTTTTGTGTCTGTGTGTCGAAATGAATGCTATGTACATTATGCATTCCAATAACGAAGAAAAAATAATGATGAGAAAAATACATTTTGTTTCAATCAATTGTGCAACTTATTTTTTCTCTATACCAGTAAAAGAAAACAAGTTACTTTTCACTATTCATGTAATTAATTTCGTACTGCTAATCATTGTAATTGTAACTAGCAGTTCAACATATTTATTCAATCAAGAAACTTCTCATCAAAATTATCTCTCAACTTCAGTTGGGTTCAGTGAAATTTTTAATGAATGTGGCAGAACTGAAATCGAATGTCATCAGTTATTTAAAAGTAGTAAACTTTAAAATGAAATACTAATTACAACATGGGTGTCAAAAGGGAGCAAATGGCAGACTCCAAGAGACTGAAGTCTACCGCTTCCCCCTTGCCGAGAGTTCATGTCGAAAATAAATTACAAAATAATTCAAAATTTTTATATATTATAAGAAAGATGAGTGTGGGTATGGATGAGTAAGAATGATAGATGAGTATACTATCCACACCACACCTACCCACACTCAAGATTTTTATGAAAAATATTTTATTATATCTTAAAATCAAATCATCGAATAATTTAGTTGTTTTATCTTTTACTAGAAAAATTAATTCAATAATTCTAATAGAAATTTGATTTCAAAATAGAAATGGAGTTAATACTGAATGTTATTTTTCTATTGCGTAAAAAAAAGAGCGTTAAACTCTATTAACTCTGTTTGATCGAATGTAGTCAGATGGTTATATTTTTCTTCATAGGAAATGCGCCATTTTTCAAAGTAATCAAACACAAAAAAAAATTATAAACTTTCTTATCAACATAGAGAATAAAATGAATATTGACTTGTATTTCTATTTTCACATATAATAAGTATTTTAATTAATAAATAAATTTAAGAAAAAAAGATTTTCTTTCAATTGATAAAATAATTTCAATATGTATTTGTTAAATTAAATTATTTCGAAGATTGATATATAGAAAAATAATCCCCTAAGATATTTTAATTCATTCAAAGAACACTTTTTTTCTCATGATATTTAATTTTGATCAATTATTGACAAGATGTCATATTCCTTATAGAAACATTCATGAGAATGATTTAACTGAATTCTGTTTCTTAGTTTTTTCGTTTTTAAGTTTTAAAATAAATTGTGCTCTTTACTTTACAATGATTAATCATGCGAATATCATTTGAAATAGATGGACAAATGTTATTTAGATGTGACAAACATTTTATCAGAAAAACGACATAATGTTATCAAATATTTTATTACGTCGTTTTTTTCCAAACAAGTTTGTTAATCATGATAAAAGAGAAAAATATTGAAAGGATATGTTTTTTTTTGTCGTTTATTAATCAACTAGAATTTCCATTAAAAAAAACAGATAGAATATTCTCGAAGCATCGAAATAAAAATAGATTTTCTTTTTTTTTCTCTTATTTTCCAAAAACTTTTTTCTTCTACTCAAATCAACAATTAACTACATTTAGAATGTAAGATACAACTATAACATAAATACTATTTTTTATATCATTTAAATAAATAATATTTCTCCTTACAAATATCGTTCAATTCTTTGGAGTTCTGTTTACTTTAATATTCATCTATCTGTGTTTTAAATATTTGAATATCTTACTCACTTTTTCCTTTTCTTACATATTTTGGCATTCGAATCTGAATTTTTACTAACAGACGTGTAACTGGGAAACTTATCATCCTCAATTTTATTGCTTTCTCGTTGATAGTGATAATCCATAAAGAAAACATCATTCAAAAATTCTTTCTTTTCTAAAGAGACTTATGACTATCTATTTTTCTCCTGATTAGAGTCTTTGTGTTCTTTTTGAAATAATTGTTTTATTTTCAGAGCAAAGCACTTCAACTGATTTTCAAGTTTCAATACCAACACAAAAAGTTTTTCAAACAATTCATTCATTCATTGAATGATGAAGTTCAAAACTTTAACTACCTGGCTTTATAAAAAAGGATCTAATTACAATCTTTTTATGTTAGAAGAACAAGAATATGATGATGATAATGATGCTGTTCAAGATCCAGCTATTGTTCTTAAACATCAAAAATATAAAACTCGATTATATGTTATTCTTCTTGCAGGTAAGTCATGAGAGGTGTGACATATCTCGTATATCGGGGATGCTGTAGATGTTATAGAGCTAATTTAAATACTAGCGAAGGTATCCGATGGTGGTTCAGAAACGTTCATATTGAATACCTGCCAGCTTAGAAACGACAGAGGATATAGACAGGGGTATCTTTGGAAGCTTTGCGTCTATCACCGCTACATATCCCACCGTGCATATTTGAGTGACGCCACTGCGGCTATGTATCACTCCAACTTCTCTCGAGATCCACTCGTAGTATAAACATTCCACTGCAACTGTAACTACACCTGTATTTTGGAAATCCTACTACAAACCCATTCAGATAGTACATGCTCACTCCACTCCAGATATACCTCTAGTGTAAGAATCCCGCTGCAACTCTAATTTAAGTGTAGTTTAATACAGGTCCACTTCAACTCCATCTCTGTTTTAGAAATCCCATTCGGATGCTATTTTGAGAGTGTGCGTGCCGTGCTTTTTATTCATCTCCACTCCTTTGTGCCACATGTACACTAACCGTAAATAGATAGTAGTAGATGGAGACTGTACAAATCGGTCAGAACTCTCAAAATGTCCTCAAATATCAGTGAAAATCGTTGTACATTGTCGCTTGGGTGAGGTTTCACCCAGCCCACCTAGGATGGCTCCAAGCCCCTCTCAACCTTCTGTTTGGACCTGTGGAGGTACCATCAACAGTTTGGTGACATTAGCTATCACAGGTCTGTCTCGGTGAAATTCCACCCAGACATCCTCTTAGTGACGGCGCCAAGGGTGGACTCTGCTCACTCTGAAGTTTTTTTCAGATCTTATATATATAATACTGAGCCCATCCTAGTCTAAATTCATTAGGCTCTAGCCCACTCTAGTCTAAACTCTTGGCGCCGCCCCTACACCCTCTCTCAACCTCTGCCAATGTCTTGAGCCTCCATCAGTGGCACCAACCCCGTGTCGATGTTCCATCGAAGCTAGGGAAGTATCACGAAACGTTTAGCGGCGTTAGTCATAACAGAACTGTGTGGGTGAAATTCCACCCAGATACTTTATACTGAGGCTCCATCAATGGCATCAACCCCGCCTTGATCTTCCATTGGAGCTAAGATAGTAGCATGGAAAGATTTAGCGGCGTCAGTCATAACTGGACTGTGTGGGTGAAATTCCACCCAGATATCCTATCTCAACCCCTATCAATGTCTCCAGCCTCCATGAATGTCACCAACCCCCTCTCAGCCTTTCATTGGAGCTATGAAAGTATCATGGAAAGTATGGTGACGTTAGCTATTACAGAGCGATCTGGGTGAAATATCTCTCAGTACCACTTCGTTCCTTCTCCTTCAGTGATGCCAAACTTCTATTGGCATTCCTCTAGACTTAGACAAGTGCCATGAAAGGTTGGATGACGCTAGCTATTACTGGTACAGAATGCATTGCGTACAAACCAAGAAGCCTTCTTCTTTATGTGTAGTTAGATGTACCAGCTGTAACTAAAAGATATCGAAAGTAAATTGGTAGAATGCTAAGAATCCGTCCCGTCTCCGAGTTGAAAAACCATTTTCGTGGATTTGAGCTCGAGACAGTGCAGAAAATGCATATTTTGTGAACGACGCTGCATCTTCCAAAGGAGACGTTGCATATTCCGCATCTCCACTTGTGATTTCCAAAATGAAAAAATGTTTTATCGAATATTTCAATATAGCGTTGTATGTAGAGATGTATAATCTCTCGACCTTGTGGAATCATATTTCATGTTACCCACATCTAGATATATGCTGTGTGTGTGCTTTGTATGCGTGAATAAAATTGGTTTCAACCAAAACGACCATATTACTGTGTTCATCAAAGAATTATTTGTATGTAATAATGAGAGTAGAGTGTGGGTGTGGATATTATACTCACGTTATACCCACACTCACAGACACACACTCTCAAATTCAAACAAAACTTGAATTTGTTGAGATATCATGAAATACATATTTAGTTGTAAAAATAAACTCGTTAATCTATTTAAAAATATTTTAATATAAGTTATTTAGCTACTTATTTAAAAAAAATAGTCATCTGACAATTTTCTTTGTTTTAGTGTGTCTCTATATGTTATTCTATGTTACTTTGATTAAAACCGAATCTAAGACAATTATGATCTCGAATGTAACGCCTGATACTTTTGAGAAGCTTTATTTTGAGCATGATCAGACTCTTTCATGTCCATGTTCAGCAATAGCAATACCCTATCGAAATTTTACTTCGAACAATGTTACAATGCATCCGGTTTGTTCGAGTATCTTTATTGAACCAGAATGGATCAAAGGATTATATTTTTCAAATGCAAGTCAATATGGAGCATGGGATTTTCGAACAACAGCACATTCACAAGTAAGTTAGATTTTATATTTTAATATGTGTGCTCCCCTGTCATCAACTAGTTGAATGAAAAGATATTGTTCGATGTATTGAACAACACCAGAATGTTTCTCAAGATAAAGTGTGATGTAGATAGAATTAATAGTAGAGGTTGGTTTTTCAATAGGTATCGCGACAGGGCTGTGACAGTAGCATGTTTATTTTATTCACCATTGCCACGCCGTTTCGTTAGCTTTTTCTCTAAGGCCATGGCGCGGTAGCGGTCGGTTTTCAAGTGCGATGGATATCTCTGGCAACAGATCATAGTAATATTGCTGTGTTGGGGTATAGGTGATATACGCCTTATATTAATTATACCGCAACACTATGCATGTCTACAGATATTGATTTTGTTATAAATTAATTTTTTTTAAATTAAATGATTTTGTTGCAAAATCAAATTCTCCAACGCATGTGTGGATATAAGTATTATATTGATCAATCATCATTTAATATGCACTCATCCACCTTCCTCCACAACTTTTTTCAAACCTTTACAGGTAAACATTATAGAAGATCTGAAATATTTTATCACACAGACAAAAAAAGTGATTATGGGAGAAATGAAAGATTTCAGAACGAAATACTGAGAATATAATCTCGCATAACTCATGTAGTTTAAAGAAAATAAAAGCTTGTCTATGTTGTATAGAATTGAGATCTACACACCATATTCTACTAATTCATATGCTTTTGATTTTAATATGAATAATTTAATATCAGACAATACCATAGTTGAAATTATCTGTACAATTGTACTAGAATTCAAAGTTTTATTATTCCTAAGATTACTTAGAATGAAAGAAATTCGAAAATTGAAACGAATTATTTATTAGTTAATTATCATTTAATACAAATTTCAAATGAAATAACATTTTGTGTTCTTTCTTTTCTTTAGTTTGAACTTTTATCAAGTTTTTGTTCACTTTCAAAAGAAATTATTTCTCAAACTGAAACTGATATTGACAATAATGAACTTGTTACTCTTTATCTTCTTTCTGAAAAACAAATTCAATTGCAAATAGATGGAACAACTGACTTACTAAAGAACAGTGCATCGTCTCAAATGATAACATATTTAGATTATTTAAAAAACACAATTCAGACAAATTATCTAATTTCAGCTCTCAATACAAATTTAATAATTAAAACAAAACGGTGGGGTGAATTTATTGCTACAGCTACAGATCCAGTATGGCGCGTTTTTGATTCTTATACATCCAAAGCATGCAATAAAGAGATAGTACTAGCTAATGCTACTTTCAGTCAAGTGATCTACGAATTAATCGACGCCCAGAGTAGACGCTCATTGAATCAGAGGCCAAACTCTACAACTGTTAATGGATTCTTTATAGGATGTACTCCTCTTGAAGCCCTTCTTGAAAGTACATTAGATTGTTTATATCAGACAGAATGCCTTCAATTATTAATAGATTATTTTCCAATTCGTCAACAAGTTTGTAAACGATAATCGATTATCTTTGAAATATTTATTCTCTTTAGATAAATTTCCATGCAAATGATTCAGTTTTAACTTCAAAACATGAAAATATATCTGTTAATAAATATTTGAATAATCTTTTCATTATGAATTGGTCACCAGCAATTGATTATACAAAATATTTTCATCAATGTTCTCCATCAAACTGTACATATTCTAAAAAAGATCGAACAGAACTATCTTATGCAATAACTCTTTTCATTAGTCTTTATGGTGGTCTCATTATTATACTTCGTCTTATTGCATCATGGTCTGTCGATATTCTATCGAAACTCAAATATTATTCACGAAAGAGAAATGAAAATTCAGGTAGATCTTTAATTGAAGAAAGAATATTTGTTTATCGAGAATTTCTAATAGGTCAAAATGGAAAGATATTGAAATTTATTAAATCAATAAAACGATTAAACTTATATAAGAATGTTAGTAATCGAACAGAAAATGGTATCAAACAACAAAAGACTATCACACGTGTTTATTTGATTTTATTAACTGGTAAAGTTATTGTGTCATTGTTTTTTATAAGTGATGAACTAAAATTCAAAGAAAGTCTCGATTAATTATATTTAATTATAGAGTTTGTGCTTTTACCTACAATTGAAAGATAAATTATGATGTATTTTAGAAAAAAAGACACTACTTTCGTGGGTTAAGAAACATTTTTCAGTTTTTGATAAAATCTCATTTTTATATAAATAATATATCCACTTTCTTTGTTGATGACATTATAGGTTCAATTTGTATTCTTTGTTTATTCACATCATTAAACAGTGAAACTAAGACAATAATTGAAAAAAATCCATCATTAACAACTTATAATTCTTTAAGAGGAGACTTACATTCCGTTTCACTCCAATGTCCATGCTCTAATAAAACAATTCCTCATCAAAAATTTGTCTCATTGTCTCCACATTTTCATCAAATATGCTCGAGTGGTTTTGTTGATGATGATTGGATTGAAATAATGAAAGTGGATATACATACTATTATTTCTGAGGATTGGCGTTTTCGTGTATCCACAATGTTTCAATTGTTATCTGATTTTTGTCAATTGGCTAATAGAACAATCAATGATGCTATGAAACGATATCTTTCTCAATTATTTATTACTTCTTTTGTGATGAACGAAGACGATTTCAACAAACAATTAAATTCCAGCCTCAGTCATTTTTATCGATCAACGGTTCATAATTTTGATTTGATGACAAATACCTTACGACTTCTTATGCAGATTGATCAGCTGTATATAGAATCAAACCGACATATTGCAGATTTCAAAAAAACCGATCTAATCGTAAATCTTGTACAAAATAAAACAAATACAACTGAATTAATAAAGGTATGTTACTAATTTGAATTAAAAAAAGATGCATTTGTTCAAAGAAATAATTAGAAGTAGTTCAGTTATCTTGACTATTTCGGAAAAGTAATTAAAAAGTAAATAAATTATACATTATTCACGTTTATAAAGAAAATAAAATATTTATAACTTACTGATTGCCGCACATGGTGAAATGTCTAGGTCGAAAAATACATGGAAAAGAGTGAGTTTATTTCATTACGATGAATTAATGAAATCAGTATTCTGAAATGGAAACCATCGGACTTTTTCACTTTTCCCTAATCATTACGGACTGAGAACCGTTCGGAAGTTCCCAAAAAAAATGCAGAAACTGTATATTTTGAGATGGTCCGGGTGGGGTCTGAATGAACGCCACCCATTCGAAAAATGAAACCTAGATAAAACACTGATATTAAGCACCTCTTGGGAAATAACCAGTTCCACTTTGGTTTTTCACGAATTCCAAACGAGCGATTCCAGACTGATTCCAACCTTCGTTTCAGACTCACTTTCAAGCACTTCCTAAGCTCGGAAGTAATTATGTGCGTATACGGTTCGTCTTTTTCGACAAAACTTCTGATTCAGTTTTCCGAAAGTTGCTTGTACCAAAAGATACGTGTCGCGTCCATCGAAATTTTAGTTTTTTTTCGAAGGAAGAGTTTTGATCGATGAGATATTGATATGAATTTGTTAAGCAGTGGAGACTCGATTTCTCATACGGATTAAACTGGATTGCATTGCATAGAGTCAGGAAAAATTTTCAGCGACTATTTCTGGCAGTGAAGAATTCAGATGGGCTTCATAGTCTGTCATTATTAGGAGTACACGCAGTTCAGGTTCACGAACTGGTTGAACAGTTCTTTTGAACGAACTAAACTGAACTGATCGGCATCAAATGTTCAGCGGTTAACAAACTGATTTCAATAATTGAAATCAAATTAAAATCACAAGAAATCAAGAGATTAGGCAACTGAGGAGATTAAGAGGACTAAGGGGACTATGAGGCTAAGATGACTAATATTGAGGGTGATAGTGTTTCTAGTCTGCTGCGTCCATCATCAACCCACATCCACGTTAACGAAAATATTTCAATAAAAGAAAGTCTTTTACGTAAATAATATTTCCTTGAAAAAAAGAGAATTTCTTTCATTTGTTTAGTGTTGAATTATAGATTTTTGTAATATTAATTTTAGCTGAAGTTTATTTTAAACGAAATCACAGAAATCAACTCATCAATGACTAGATGTGTTTGTGCAACTGATCCTTATTGTAAAGTTCCGGCTGTTATTTACGATGGTAGTTTAATTTATAGTGTATCAGGTTGGATTCAAGGATGTCTTGCTATGGATTCTCTTCTTCTGTCAACATTGGAATGTTTATATGCAGATTCAGATTGTTTTCCATTATTCGTGAGTTATACTGTCAAGCCGTTTTATAACCATTTCGAGACACCATCACATATAATGCATCCATTGGTTTATAATCCAATGAGCCGTTTTCCTCCAAATACAACTGTTTCAGTGATGTTTAGGAAAATGATGATCGAAGAATGGAATCCAGCTTCATCATATCAATCGTTTTATGAAGCATGTGCACCGATTTATTGTACTTATTTTCGAAAGATTCGTACACAAAATTTTTTTAGAGTGATGATAAAATTGATATCAATGATTGGTGGTGTTGTGGCTTTATTACGAATTATGACACCTTATCTTATTAAATTTATTCTTCAACTACCAACAATATGTAAGAAAAAGAAACAACATCAACCAAGAGAACGAGGTAATGAGAGTTTCAATCAAATCTCCATAGATAAACTTTAAAGTTCAGTTGATTGAAATTGAATTGTTCTGTAAATAATATCGCGCGAAGTGTTCATCAACTGGAAAACTTCTTGATATAAGACTTCATAATAATCATCACAGTAAAACAAAAAATGTCTCATTATTTTGTTTCTTGATTAAATAATAGTCATATAATTCCATTTAATATTTGAATATTTCTAAATATTTACTCGGTATATAAAACTATTAAAAGAGAATATGTTTAATATATTTTTATTTCTCTCTAGTTCATCAAAGTTGTGCCAATCGAATGAAAATCATGATACGAAAACTGATTAAGCTTTTGTCAACAAGTTTAATTGAATTAAATATATTTTCAACACGTGATTTTGGAAGTAATACTGATCAAATAACAGCTAAACGTTATGGTCGATGGGCAACTCGTCTTTATATCATTTTATTTCTTAGTTGTCTGATTATTCTTATCTCTTATACAACTATTCGACCAGCTAGTTTAACAGAAACTTTCAAGAAACCATGTTTTATTCGTTATACATATTTAAAAAAAACTTATGGAAATAATTTAAAATGTCCATGTTCAAAACTAGCATCAACATATGATCGATTTGTTGAAATTAAACCAGAATTTCATTTGGTAAGAGAGAATTTGTTATTTCAAAAGAATTGAATAAGCAACTTGTTATACCATGACCTTGTTGATCAGGATACAATCTTACCACCAATGCGCAGACATCCACTAGTGATTCAGCAATAGAAAACATACTATTAGTAAAATTCACAATTGAAAAAAGTTCAGAAACTCTTATTAATCAGATAGAATGAAAGAATTTTGTTTTTTTTACGAAAATTTTCAATGATAGATTTAATTAACAATTTCATTCATTCTTATCGATAGATTTGTTCAAGTGAATTCATTTCCGAAGAATGGCGAATCGGTATAACAAATGGTCTTGTTTCTAATTTATCTATTTATTCACAAAAAGATTATCGTCGATTTATTTCTGCTCATATACAATATCTTCAAGGATTATGTCGACTTTCTCAACAGTCAATTAAGGATGCTGTTAATGAATCTTTAACATCATTATTAGTCACTATTGAACTTATCTCTGAACAGAATTTTTATAATCATCTTAATAACTCAATTGAGCAAAGCAAATCAAATGCTCCTGTTCTATTCTCTCGTCTTCTCTTCATTACTCGAACTGTTAATCATGGAAATGCTTACATATCAACATATGGCACAAATTTCGAATATATTTCTTTGTTGACTAATGGTATGGAAGGTTATGCATATACTGAAGGTATGATCTATGATAATGAATGCTCATGTGGATTGTATTCAAATTGTACAACTCAAGCAACTTTTGTCGATGAAAATTCCTTAGAGATGATACCAGTGAAAGGATTAAAAATAGGATGTACACCAAGTGAATCATTTCGTTTATCAACTCTTGAATGTTTTTATAATCAATCATGTCTTAATCTTATTCAAAACTATACAAATTATCATAATTCTTCAACTCCTCTTTCAACAATCTCCAGTCGTTTTCCAGAGAATACAACAATTGATGAATTAATCAAAAATTTATTCAATGAACGATGGTTCAATCAATCCAATTATTCATCTTATTATGAACAATGTTCTCCTTTGTTATGTTCATATACTAATATTGAAAGATTTAATATATTTTATACGATAACCCTTTTTCTTGGTCTTCAAGGTGGTTTAACAATAGTTCTTAAATGGATTTGCCCAAAATTAGTTCGAATTGTATCAACAATCAATCGTTATCGAAAAAGACAAAAAACATCAATTCATCCTGACAATTCTCTTGAAATATCATCTGATAGTTCTGTTATTCATATTATAACTTTAAATGTTGAAATTCCAAGAACTGATAATATAGCATCTGAGTATACCATCGGTATTTTCCATTTATTATTTTAATTTAAAATTTTTCTACTTTAAAAGAATTATTATTCCACCAAGTCGACGTTATTCTAATAAAATTTTGATAATTGTATTACTAATATTTATGATCGTCGGTATTATCATTTTTTCGATTTATTATGCTCAATATGGTAAGAATATAATTTTACAGTTGATATTCATTGTAAAACTTTTATATGAAATACAGAAAAATAAAATGTAATTTGAAAGCTCGTTTGGAAATGAAAGTGATAAACAAAAATCTGAATTCAAAAATGACCAGAGATATCTGATGAAATAATTATTCAATATTTGTTTTTCTTCAATAGTTTCGGCAACGGATGCACCAATGGATGATAGTTTGAATACAACAACAAGTACGATGATAATAACATCTTCGACTACACCAGGTTAGTAATCGAATTAAAATCATAGGTGAATAGTGATCGGAGAAAATGTCGTGAACATATAGTTGCAAAAAAATCAAAGTATGAACAAAATATCATATGGATTGAATGTTGCATTAATAAGATGGTGTAGTATTTCAACGGTAGATGTGAACGCGATGTTCGTTTCTCACCTATATCCATACTCTACTCTTGAAATATCATGCCATCTGAATATTGCATTATTTTGTCCTGCGACATTTTACCCAAGTGCCATAGTTTAGCAACTTGTTTCTTGAAAAATTTAAAGGAAGCTATTTTCTGCTAATATAAAAATAATATATAAATTTGGGGGATAAATATCTGTAGTATCTTGTAAAATAACAGGATAGGATAGAAATTGCTTTTATTTGTCAACCTGTCCTCTGATTATCTGTGTATCACACATAATGATTTATTTTATACAGAACTTAATGTTCAAGTTAATTTCTATCAGATATAGCATTTGATTAAATTTATTTCTTTTAGAACCACTTTGTCAATCGGAATTCGAGTTGATATCAATAAATACGCATTGTGTTGGACATGTTTTCCACTCAGTTTACAGCGTTGCTGCAGATTTTAACAATGATAATCAAGTTGATCTGATGTACATTTGTAACTTTGATTTCAAACAGAAGATGACTTTATTATTGGGCAATAGTAACAGAACATTTCAAGAACCAGTTATGTTCTCATTTGAAAGTTTTAAACTATTACAACATGTTCTTGTTGCTGATGTTAACACTGACAATCGATCTGATTTAATTTTGATACACAAAAATGGAAAGAATAACGTTTTTACTATTTTATTTGGAAATGAAAATGGAATATTTCAAACACAAAACATGTTGTCTCAAGTAATACATCAATTTCCATATCAGATCAGTGTGATTGATGTCAACAATGATGAGAAAGTAGATATCATTATGATTCGTGAAGATGATTGTAATATTTATGTTATGTATGGAAACGGAAATACAACTTTTTCATCAGAATTTACCTTATTTGTAGGGGTAAACTGTGATCTAGGAGGATTAGGTGTTGGTGATGTTAATAATGATAGCTATTTCGATATTATTGTAAACGATCTTACATCTTCACATATTTATGTATTTTTTGGAGAAGCTAATGGAAAATTTCAATCAGTGAAATGGTTTTTTACTGCACTTGATACTCTAGCATCTATTATAGTTATTGGTGATTTTAATAATGATGATCAATCTGATATTGGTTTTATTTACAACAATTGGAATGATCTTTTTTATATGATATATCAATATAACAATAATAGTTTTAGTGTTAATGAAAGAGAGAAAATTATTATAAAACGTCATCAATACATATATTCAGCTGTTGTAGGTGATATTAACGGTGATAATCATTTTGATATTATTATTAATTTGGATCGACCATCCAGAATCTATGCATTACTTGGATATGGAAATGGAAAGTTCTCTATACAAACCATTTATCCAAATGCATCTCAATTTGGTTACGACTGGCTTAGTCTTACTAATTTCAATAATTATAATTATCAAGATATAATTGGTATGGACGCACACTCTAAACTCATAAATATTTTCTTAAACAAGCGTCAATGTTCAGCAACCTAATAAAATTGAACAACTTCTTAGAATTAAATAAAGAGATAAATAAAAATAAATATATCCAATATTCAAACATTGTACTGTATTACCCACTGCAAATGAAGTATTCTTTTTATAACTGAAAGTATACCACAAAGTGCCTTTTATGTATGAGCGAATAATAATATAGATATGCGTCTGACTATTGTATCTACGCAACTGACTCATACAATAGTTTTTATATTTCTTTTATCACATGTTTTGTTATTGTCTCTTTTTTTTTCTTTACAATACATTAAAAGTAAAAGATAGATTATAGAGAATATAAAAGAATTTGATTCATAATTTTAATAAATGGAGGAGTATGTTTTTCCGGGGGTATCGAAACTTTGTCAATAAGACTTTTCCCAATGACAGCAATTCGAGATTGTATTGGCGAAGATCCTAAATTACTACTTTTTAATACTGAAAAAAATATATTTAAATGATAAAATACAACATTAAACATGAGTATTATTTTGTGTCAATGTCTGATGCGTTGATCTATGAATTGTTGGTCGTCCACGTTGTTTTCTATAAATATTTATAATTAAATGTTTAAATTCTCGACGAAATGCTTTCGATGAAATAATATAAATATAAAATGGTGCAGCAAAATTCATATATATTAATAATAATGCAATGCCTAATATAAAACTTTCAATTTGTGAATATTCAATACTTTTATTTAATATTATATTTCGACTAATCATCATTTCCAAAAGAATAAAAGGATATGGAAGTGCTGTAAGAATATAAACAAATACTTCAGACATGACAATAATCAATAATTCTTTATCTCGTCGTCGAATAGGAATATCAACGTGTGCAACTGGTTGAATACGATTATGTCTTTGTTTCATATTTCTATAAGTTAAATATCCTAATGTTCCTGACGTGATTGGTGGAATTAAACCAACAAATATTGCAATATAAATAGTATAAATTATTGAATAAATACCAAATTGACCACATTGTCGATTAATAATTGTTGTCATTATTGCAACATGACAACCAAAAATTGGCCAAAAAATAATCGACAAACAAACAAGACATTTAGCTCGTTTTGGTGTACTAAATGCTCGAAAATTTGCACGATGATTTGTAATCATAAAACGATCAATGCATGCCAATACAATAAATGTTTTAGTTATAAGTCCAAGAATTCCTGGTATATATGAACGTAATTTACATAAAATAAATGCACGTATTGTTTCATCAGCATAATAAAAAGGAAATAATTGAACAAAACTATTGAATGTTAAATAAATACTATTAATTATTGTTGAACTTATTAAATAAATTGAACATGCATTTTGACGTTGCCGAGCAAAAAGTATAATTATAAATATATTTCCAATATTTCCTAAAATCATAACAATTGTATATGTATAAAAATTTAATTGACTTTGAATCGTTGCTAATATTGCTGTTGACATTTTGAAATATTCCGTCTTTCTGTTTGTACTTTTTTGACAATATCTTTAGATAATTTTAACTCTCTCTTTCTTCATTCTCATTGGTTCTTGATAATAATTTTTTTTTGTATAAATAAAGAATTTATATTAACGACGCAAAATTGATAAAAAAACCTCAAATAAAATTTTGTAGTAACTATTTTGCTCTAGCTTAATATAATAAAAATGATAAAATTTCGTTCTGGTTTTTACTAAGATGAATTGAGTATTATTTTGGCAAAAAACACTTTAAAAGATTAGAGAACGGTACTATAATCTATGTAATTATTTTCTAATGTTAATGACATATACAGAATTTTGTTTTTGACATGTCCTGATAGAATTTGTAGTTCAAATATTACTAATTTAAACTAGAAAAAAGGAGGGATAATGTAAAAACTAACAAGATGAAAAGATACAATTTGACAGTTTTTTTTTGCACCGCATATATATATATATTTCTAATATAACTGTTTCAACAAGACAAATCCAGAATTAATTAGATATTTATAGAAAAAAAACTTGTCAGTTTAGCTCTATAAAAATGAATTCAATTACTACTATATAGTAGAGATGCATATTTTACATTCTATCGAATAGAATATATCTCAAAACAAAAGATAACTTCATATAAGTGAATTGCAACGTTTCGACACGATTGTAGTTGTATATGTACAAAAAAATCTTGTTCTTCATTTCACGCGTTTTTGTTCTTAATATTTAGGCACAAATATTTGGTTTAATTTTATCGCTGCCAAAATATTTACATCATACAAAGAAGAGTATATAGGGATATTTTCTATTAAAATAACGTGTTTTTTTCTCTGGTGCGTTTCTATCAAAGAAAAACGTCTTGTAATTGATAGATGTTAACAAATTTTATGACTACATTTACTACTGTTATTTCTCTTGTACTTCCATTTAATTATTCACCTGAATAATGGTAATTTCATGTACATCTGTTGTACTTTGTTTAATGACCATGAATAAAAAGCACGAGGTCATAAAATAATTGACTAAAAACGTGCATTAGCAGAATTCAAAGACAAACCCAACAAGGCCGATCTTTCTCTGTCGTTCTCTTTCGTCGTCACTTCCATAGTTTACGAATAAGGAAAAAAAGAACGAAATGGAGAGAGATCTATTCATATATGTCAATACCAGAAAGAAACAAAAAAAAAAGAGAAATTGTAGGTGAGTGCGAGAAATCAAATCGATTAATTTTTCTTTTGTATAGACTACATTTAAACTTTATGCAGTCTCGCACTGTGCAGTCCTTCAGGTGAAACGATCGATAATGTCAAAATGCAAAATATTTCTATTCTTGTTGATTATAACAATCACTAGTAAAGATTTCTTTTTAGTACAAAAATTTGAATAAAACAATAAATTGTTTTTTTATTATTCATAGTTTTAGGAATTGATGGTCGATCTCTTCGTAAAAGACGGCAAACATGGCCATTTATTCTTGCTCCAGGTGGAAATACTTTTGCAGCAAGTGGTTACTATGGAATGCAAACAAATATTGCCTATCCAGAAAGTGGTATTGGTTATAATTCAAATTATCAACCATGGAATCCATATCAACAGGGATATTATCCACAAAATCAGTTCAATAATTATAATCGTTAGTAACTAATGTAACATACATCTTGTCTCAATTTTGTTTTATTCTTTAGCATATGGCTACAATCCATCATATCCATATATGAATAATCAAAATATACCATACGGAGGACCAGGAATAAATAATGGAGTACCTTATTATGATCAAGGAAATTACAATGGATATTATCCACCTGTAAATCCAAATATTGTATACCCACCAGGTCGCAGTGTCGGTGGACTATTGCCTCCGGGTGTAATGAATTCGCGAACAGGTGCTAATATGGGTCAATTGAGTCAAGTTGAACGCATTAATAAACCAGCATTATCTTCGAATACTTGAATAATGAAATAAATATTGACTGCTAATTATTTTTATACTGCACGAATCTGTCTTATTTAAATAAATGACTATCGATGTATTCTAAACTTTTGCAGTCTAAAAAACAGAGTTCATTATGATGAGTGTATTTTTCTATTTGCTGGCAAAACCTTTGTTCTAAATTTCTTGAAAATATAAATAGTCGTCACACTTTAGCAGTTTCACTGAGACCTATTCGAAATGACTTTGGTTCAATTACAAAAGAATCATCATCAAGATCATTATTCAGTTCTGAAGTCGTCAAAACAATAAGCTTGTATACTATTAAAAACTTACTACATACAAAAATAAGTTTTTAATTCTAATTATTTTGTAAATGTTTATTGTAGTGTAAAAGTTATTTCATATGTATCCTATGAATATAATCAAAAGTTAGAATTTCAAATTTTCATTTTGTTTCTTTCATTAAAAAAATTGCGCTTATTCACATTTACTAATTAAATATTTTCTTTAGAGCAAATAATAACTCAGACTATGTTCAAGTACACTTTTCTTCTAGATCGTTTGTTATTTTTTCTATCAAATTATTTAAACTAGATCTTTTCTTTACAACAAAAGATAACCTTTTTTGAACAATCTAGACTATTTTAAATTACAATTTTCTTCCGGCTCGTTTGTTTTTTTCTTGTTTGATCATAGAATGTTCTATCACAATCTAGAAACTACTCGAGAGAAGGTACTGGTAACATTTCCCTTGACAGAACTCTAGCTATTTCGGATAAAAAGTTATAAGCATTTTACTTAACTGCCTTTTTTTGAAATTGAATAAAAATTATTCTCATGTCGTTATTATATTTATGTCAACAAATAACAATTTATGGTGGTTTAATTCTTGTAATTATTGGTATATTTGGTAATAGTATGAATATTTTAGTATTTTCAACAATTCGTTCTTATCGTACAACTCCTTGTTCATTTTATTTTCTTATTAGTTCAATATTTAATATTGCTTATGTAACAATAAATCTTATTTCTCGTATTGTTAGTACAGGTTATGGAATTGATTTAACTCATACATCAGTTATTTGGTGTAAAATACGACAATTTTCTCTTTTTACTCTTAGTTTAATAACAATAACATGTTCATGTTTAGCTACAATTGATCAATTTTTAGTTTCATCACAAAATGTCAAATTTCGTCGGTTAAGTAATATGAAATGGACATATCGAATTGTATTTATTGTTATCATTATTTGGGTTCTTCATGGAATACCTCCATTTTTATTTTCGGATATTTCACCAATTACAAAAACGTGTGAAAATACTAATGCAGCTTATGGTATTTATATTCCAATATATCTTCTTGGTCTTATTTGTGCTATTCCAATAATTATTATGGTATTATTTGGATATTTAACTTATCGAAATATTCGTTTAACAAAAGGTCTTGTTAGACAATATGCTGATCGTCAATTAGTAAAAATGACATTATTTCAAGTAGTTCTTGTTGTCATAAGTTTTTTTCCATATGGAATATATAGTACTTATAACTTAATTACAAGTGGAATGACCAAAGATGCAGATCGATTATTACAAGAATATTTTGCTTTAACAATTCTTAGTCTTGTACCTTATTTTTATTATTCCGTAAGTATTAAGAAATATTTTTGTAAACTAGTTTCTGATTTATGTCTAGGGAAGTTGTTATACATTCTTAATATCATCTAGTCGTTTTCGTCATGCAGTGAAAGATCGAATATTATTTTGGAAACGAATAAATCAAGTATTGCCATTACCAACAGTAACATATGGAAAATGAACAGTGAAAAATAATATCTTTCTTAACATTTATCCTCAAATAAAATTAAATATTGTCAAAAAGATTCTAAGAATATGTTTTGAATAACTTTCGATGGGTCTTCATCGCCTCTTTCCAACGATGAGAAGCGCAATCCTATAGAAAACTATTCAAAAAATATTCACCAGCATTTTATTTTGAAATGGGTAGTAGTTTTGTTCAATATACATTTGATATTGTATGACATTAAGTTTTACCTACTCTCCTTTCATAGAAAGTTCCTGTTTGCCTTTAAAATAATTATATATTATATAATAGAGAACTATATCGAGGTCGAATATGCTATATTTAATTTAATACCTATTTATAAGTAGTTCAAATACAAGATCTATTTTTATCATCATTAAATGCACGTTTTTCAAACTTTTACATAATAAAACGACATATCATTGTTTCTTTGCATATTCATTTGCTTAAAATTATTTTCTTCAACTAATCCTTTTTATCATTCTTTACAAATTCGAATATTATTTATTTAAATAACATGCATCATTTTCTAAGATGTACTTCAAAAATTTTATTTGTATTTGATATTCAATTAGACAAAATCATGCCACAAGTACATTTATTTTGTCAATGTTTATTATCTACTATAAAAAAGTGAACAATCTAATCAATTCGTAAACAAATATATCGATATATTTTTTTATTACATGATTTTTCTTGACTATAATTGACGTCAATATATTATTTTAATTAGAAATATAGCCGAAGGAAGATAAGTTTTCTACTAAGATCTTTTTTCTAATCAATTGAAATGAATGAATTCTGTGAGAAAAATATCCAAAGCAAGTGAAACAATGCGCGGTTTTTTTCAAGTATGATAATCGAAACATTTGATTAATATGTTTCTGTCATGAAAATTTGAAATATAGTATGTGTTATATTAATTTCCATCAGTTTGAAATGACTACTGAATGTAAAGATGAATGATCGTCGAAGAAATTCGATATAAAAAGCTCTTTTTTTCTCTTTATAAATCAACAACACGTATTAATACTATATGTTGTACTAAATATAATTCGAAACAAAAATTTCGAAACTAAAGCAAAATGAAAATCACAATTGTGTTATTCTACATAAGTCTTTATCGGGCTTACCAAATCCAAATTTTAGAAATCAGGGATTTTGAAGAAAAAAACAGGGATTTATCAGGAGAAATTTTCTTCTAAATCAGGATAAAAATCAGGAGTTTTTTTCAGATATATAAAAAGCATTACATGGTTCCTACTAAATACGATTTGAACTTTGATTAATTATGCGTATGAATATGAGAACTTTTTAGTCTTTTATATCGAACTAATGATAAAAAGTTTCGTATTTTCATATATAGACTGAAAGAAAAAATAATTTCACAATGTTCATTTTATCAACAGTCATTAGAAAAAAAACATAGAAAGTCATAATTAAATCATCGATTGAAGAAATGAAATATTTTCAGGAATGGATGTGGGTATCGATCAAAAGAAGATAGGGCACACCCACGCCCAAGGTGCTGAAGTTTCTAAATATGTGGGGTTGTAGTTCAAGTGGAGCTCTATCCATCACACTAAGGCACCATACTGAGCAATTCGGCTTTTTGGAGATATGATAGATTCGAATTAGTGATGTAATAACTGATGGTACAAGTGATTTTTTAAAAACCACCATTAGTTTTACTGTAGTTCGATGCGCCTGATCAAGCGGAATCGAATGACCATATTACATTCACGTTTTGATCTAGTTTTAAGGAGAAAATCGTCAAAAACCTTCGGGAATTGCCCTAAAAATTTGGTATTTCATATTTCTGACTAGCAGTATTTTGAGATTTTTTCCCTGAAAACGAAAAAGATTCGAAAAAAATTTTTATCAAAGAGGTTAGAATTAAAAGCTCTACCAACCCGACAAGTTTCGTGGAAATCTAAAACTTTTGTACACAATGGTTGAGTTCCCAAGAAAATACCCTAAAGTATTTTCTTATTCGTTAAGATGTCCATCAAATACTGATTATATTCTCTTTCTTCTTTCTTAAAGTTTCTTTTAGCTAAAGGTGTCTCTGATTGTCAACTATAGAAACTCAAAAATCAGGAGAAATTGATGAAAATCAGAAGAAAATGGCAAAAATCAGCTCCTGAAATCAGGAGATTTTCAATCAGGGAAAATCGAAAAAACCAAGAGACTCCTGACCGAATCAGGAGGTTTGGCATAGCTGGTATTGATATATGTACTTCGATGACAAATTTTGTTATAAAAAGTATTATTGACATCAATTTCTTTCAAGTTTGACGAGAGAAAAGAACAAAAAAATATATAAGAAATAAATGAAGTTGATTTATTTCGGTATAAGATTGAAATTAATTTTTATTGTTTGCATTATAGGAGTATCTACTAGTGATAATAAATACACGTGTCCAATTCTTGCTGTGCATACATGGGATAAATCGATGCAGAATATGAGAAAGGAAATCGGTGGTATACATATAATGGGTACCGCGAACAAGAAGAGAAATGTTGCGATGCTAGGAAATGTAAATGAAAACGTTGAATTCAAAGTTGGAGTTAACCAAGATATTGAAATGCTTCCTATTGAAGATATTCTTTCGATCAAAATATCAACTGAAGTTAACAAAGCACTCGAGCAAGAACAAAGATTAGTTACTAAACAAGCTCCGCAAGACGAACTAACATGTGGTAAAAGATTTAAAAATGCCCTATGTTGCAGAAGATCAGTAGCACAAGCACCTGAACGCCAACTTACTAAAATAGAAAAGCGAAATGCAACAAGAACCATTACTGTTACTATCGAGCGTATTCATTATAGTCTAATTGATACACCAAGTCATTTGCGTGCTGTTTCAGAAAAACGTCAGGAACAATTTTATGATGAAAATTTGCGAAAAAGAACAATCAAGTTTCATTATCTAAAAAATGAAATATTCGATGAGAATGAATACACAACTCATTTACAAGAAAGTGAAGCTCTTGCACGTCTTGTAATGCAATTAAAAGCCATGAACAAACACTATCCTAATGAAGATCAACTTAAAAAGATTATTCAACAAAATCGTATTCATCATTTTGGTCAAATAGTGAATAGAGATATTCAAACCTTGGAAGGTACTCCTGATGTAACCGCACTTACACTATATGAAAATAATTAACTGTGAATTATCAGAATGTAATAACTAAGAACTAACAATAAAATATTTTTACTGTCGCTTGTTTTTTTTATTTATTCAATAAAAAATATCATAAACAAACCTTGAAAATATATCAGACTCGAAAAGAGATTTACATATAATAAAGACGGATACTAAGCAGTTCAAAATGTGATTGCTGGAACGAATATAAATGGATATTGGTATCTCAGTCAGAACAGCCTTGAAAAAAATAATGTTATTTAAAGGAAAAGCAAGTTTATAAATATTCATGTTGTGAAATTCATTTTTTTCAAAAAAAATATTCTTTTTTAACGCGTAAAAATGTGCGCTTTTTCAAAGTTCGTTTGACTACATTATAGTTATTTGATAGTCATCAAAGAAAAGAATTAAATGTTAAAGACTTTTTTTATTCCTTTCTTTTCTTTTTATTATATCTTTTTTTGCATTAAGTATCTCACTTTTATGAGTAATTCGTGAGTGAAGTCAACACTTTTTCCGTTATTAAATTATTGATGAATTTTGTACCAGCTTATTTTTTTAATATAAATGACAATTCAAGTTTTGTGCAATATAGAAAATAAAAGTCCGATATATTAAACGAGTATGAACTGTCTATTTTCTGTCTAATTAAATAATACCAATCATTTATCATAAGTAAAGGTCAGTTATATACCTAAACAATTTTCATCATTAAACTTTATTATAATAATTCTTTATCTTTAATACATACGCACACTCAGTCTTAGAGCCAGATTAGATCATCATCAGTTTGTACACTTGCATCATTTTGAGATATTTTAGTGGTAGATGTTGATTGATTTGTGGATGGAACTGGTGATCCAATATTAGCAATAAGAGTCATATTTCCGATAGTAAACAAAGGTATAGAGGCGGATGAACCATCATTGTTAGTAGTTTGCGATTGATTAGAACTTTCATCTTCATTTGTAGAATAATCTAAATCATCATCAGCATGAACTAATGAGGCAGATGTTTCTTTTACTACTGATGATGATGATGATGATTGGTTGGCCAGGCGTCGTTTGATCCAATACAGCCAACTATATGTTAAGATGAAAAAATGCTTTCTCTGTATACAAAAAACTTTCAAATTCAACTTACATATTCGAAAGTAATGGAATTATACAAAATCCACCCATTAAATACAATCCCATATTTCTATGACTCATCATAGTCATTGTATAAATCCATCGAAAAATTGAATTACCGAAGGATGTAATGAATTGATTGATAATAATAATAAATATATATGCAATATTCACTTCATCAGGTCTCAAATATTTAGCTAGAATTGCTAAAGTTAATGGATTTTGATAATGAGCAAAACTATAAAATATACTATTGGCAAACACTTGCCAATAATGTTGTGCAAATATTGCCCAGATAACGGATACTATAAAGAAAACATGACTAATTGCACAAATTAGTATATCGTTAAGTATAATTAAACGAAATAAATGATAACCAAGTAAACTGAAAATTCCAATACTAACTCGTATTACAAACAGGTAGAGATCAATCATATACACTGGCCAAGATATTGGATTATTAGCAAGTGCAAAGATAAATGTTGATTCTGCAGATGTAGCCAAAGCATAGAATGCATAAGCAAATAAAACTAAAAATATAGCTAGTTTTTGTTTGCGAGAACGCCGGTCTCCATAAAAAATTGTAAGTATATCAAAGGTTAAAACAACTCGTGTATGCATATTCCTATTTGTATAGTTATACAAACTTAAATCAAAACAATAAAGTACAATACCAACAGAAATCAATAACAAGACTAAAGCTAACCAAAATAATATAAAATAACCATGATGTCGTACAAAAATAGTAATAAGAAATGTAATCAAGCCTGTTAATACACTTTTTAATGCATAAAATCGCACAAACCATAATGATCGATTACTTGGATTTGTTAAATCAACAATAATTAAATTAATAACATAGTCTAACATAAACATGAGAAAAAAGTATTAATCTTACATCTTTTGAAAACAAATACACAAAAAGATAGCATACCTATAAGGCCGATATTCCCCAAAAAACCTAACATAAAAGCACTTAGATACCACCAATAGATATCGAGTTTCAAATAAATAATTGCTAACGCAATGATCATTTGGATTATAATACCTACCAAAGGTAAGATGAGTACGAATCGTTTTCCAAGAAATGGTATTAGTACACCCATTATCGAACTCATCACAACTGCTGGAATACTATGAGCAATATTTCTTCGATAAACAACATCACTTTCTTCTGTTTTAGGTTTTACTTCATGTAATAAAGTTTTATTGTCTATTTGTGAACATGTTCCATTATCACATTGAGTATTATTTCTATAAAATTGATATATCTTGTTTTCGTCATATAATTCAGTACAATTTATTTTAGATGATAATTGAGATGGATTAATATATGTATTAATAGAATCAATGATACAATAACAAAGTGATTGTAAACACACAATACCGACGATAGTGAATAAATTCATTTTCACTCGATTTCCCGAGAGAAAATGTATATTTTTTACCCAAGGTAACATAGATGATCGATACTCAAACAGTCGTATTTCTATTATTATTAGATATGCATATATATATATAAATAGTTGAGGATATAACTGAAGGTGCAGTCATGCACAACGCTTATTCTTCATACTACCACGTGTGTGAATATTTTTTCGTTCGTACAATGTCAATACATATGGATATTTAGAATATTTCAAACGAGTACTTTGCATTAAACACACTGGATTAGAAGTAGTTTTAATACAACAAAAATATCAATCCTATAAATAGTCATATCTATATGAGTAATTATTTTTACATGTAAGATTAATACTAATGTAGTAGATAATTCTATATCTGTTTAGCAATTTTATTTTATTACTATATAATTTAAGATATCTCAAGTTTGAATAACTAAATAATCTATAAATATAATTAAGTATAAATAAATTAATTTTTGTTTATCATGTTTTGAAGAAAAATTAAATCAGTTCATTTAATTATTCGTAAAGTTAGTTATAAATGAAAAATTTGAATTTAAAGCCAGTTATCGGTTTAATATGAATATTATTATTATTATCTATTTACGACAAGATGTATTAAATTAAAGAAAAAATATAAACTTATATAAATAAAAACATTTTAATTGAATTGCTTTATTGGAATTCATGGAATGTTTCAGTCACATCTTCGACTCCTAATTGACGTGATTAGTTAACACCTAACTGGTGCATATTTTTTAAATACAGTTTTCAAAAGAGACACTGATAATAATTCGTTTTATTTATTTATTAAACGAGCAAATGCGGGGGTCGGTGTCTCTTCTCTTCAACTTCACTCGTATCAACAACCACGCCCTTTTTTCATCATTAAATTTTGAGAACAATTAAAATTTATTATAACAATTCTTTATTTTGAATATCTATGTACATTTCGTTTTAGAGACAGATTAGATCATCATCAGTTTGTACACTTGCATCATTTTGAGATATTTTAGCGATAGATGTTGATTGATTTGTAGATGAACCTCGTGATCCAATGTTAGCAATAAAAGTCATATTTCCGATACTAAAGAAAGGCACAGAAACAGATGAAACATCCTGGTCAGTAGTTTGTGATTGATCAGAATTTTGAATTTCATCTGTAGAAGAATCTAAATCATCATCAACATTAACCAATAACGCTGATCTTTCATTCACTACTGATGGTGATGAATTTGTGGGGCGTCGTTTGATCCAATACAAGCAACTAAATGTTAAGATGAAAAGATACTTTCTCTGTATAAAAAAAAACTTACATATTCGAAAGTAATGGAATTATACAAAATCCACCCATTAAATACAATCCCATATTTCTATGACTCATCATAGTCATTGTATAAATCCATCGAAAAAATAAATCACCAAATGATGTAATGAATTGATTGATAATAATGATAAATATATAAGCAATATTCACTTCATCAGGTCTCAAACATTTAGCTAAAATTGCTAAAGTTAATGGATTTTGATAATGAGCAAAACTATAAAATACACTATTAGCAAACACTTGCCAATAATGTTGTGCAAATATTGCCCAGATAACGGATACTATAAAGAAAACATGACTAATTGCACAAATTAATGCATCATTGAATATAATCAAACGAAATAAATGATAACCAAGTATACTGAAAATTCCAATGCTAACATGTATCACAAGCAGATAGAGATCAATCATATACACTGACCAACATATCGGATAATTAGCAAGCGCAAAGATAAATGTTGATTCTGCAGATGTAGCCAAAGCATAGAATGCATAAGCGAATAAAACTAAAAATATAGCAAGTTTTTGTTTACGAGTACGACGTTCTCCATAAAAAATAATGAATATGTCAAAAGTGAACATAACTCGTGTATGCATATTTCTGTTTGTATAGTTATACAAACTTAAATCAAAACAATAAAGTACAATACCAACAGAAATCAATAGTAAAACTAAAGCTAACCAAAATAATACAACATAACCATGGTGTCGTACAAAAATAGAAATAAGAAATGTAATTAAGCCTGTTAATACACTTTTTAATGCATAAAATCGCACAAACCATAATGATCGATTACTTGGAGTAGTTAAATCAACAATAATTAAATTAATAACATAGTCTAACATAAACATGAGAAAAAAGAGTATTTATCTTACATCTTTTGAAAACAAAAAGAATAACGTACCTATAAGACCAACATTTCCCAATAAGCCTAACATAAAAGCACTTAGATACCACCAATAGATATCGAGTTTCAAATAAATAATTGCTAACGCAATGATCATTTCTATTATAAAACCTATTATAGGTAAGATAAGTATGAATTTTTTTCCAAGAAATGGTATTAGTACACCCAGCAAACAGGACATCACAATTGCTGGAATACTATTGGCAATATTTCTTCGATAAACAACATCACTATCATCTGTTTCAGATGGCTCTTCATATAATAATGTTTTATTTTCTTGCTGTAAACATGTTTGATTATTAAACTGATACATCTTGTTTTCGTCATATAATTCACTACGATTTATTTTAGGTAATAACTGAGATGGATTAATATATATATTAATAGAATCAATGATACAATAACAAAGTGATTGTAAACACACAATACCGACGATAGTGAATAAATTCATTTTCACTCGATTTCTCGAGAAAAAACGTGTATTTCTTATCCAAGATAACATAGATGATCGATACTCAAATAGTTAAATTTGTATTAATATTAGATATGAATATATATATAAATAGTTGACGCTGTAACTGAAGATGCAGTCATGCACGACGCTCATCACTCATACTACCACGTGTGTGAATATTTCGTTGTTCGTACAATATTAGTACATATGAATATTTTAATTATTTTAAAATAGTGCTGTGCGTGAAACAAATTCGATTAGAAATAGTTGTAATATAATTCCAAAATCTCTTTTTCATAATTTATATAAAATCAAAAAGTAATATTATTGCCAATAATAATTTGTTTCGAAAATTATCGTACTTCTTCAATTATAAATATATATTTTTATTTTGAAGATTAAGTTAATATTAACACACTAGGTAATTCTATATATCTTTGTCAATTTTGTTTTTTTTTGATGATATTATGAAAAAATATATATTTAAAAATTGTTTGTTTAAACCAATCGAAGTCAAATAGGTACTATACCAATAAGAACTTAATGGTAGAGTGTGCTGTATGTCGAATAAATGAGTTTATAAATAAAAATTGAAGAAAAATATAAATGTACGTGAATAAAATTCATTGAATATCATATGATAATAATTCACTGGTCTGACATTGGAGTTTCAGATTTTGGTACGATTTCTTAAAATCTAGTGAGAAAAAGACCAACACGGTAAGCCTTATATGTATCTATGATTCGAAATATCACTTTTGTCGTTATACTAATATTATTTGTATACAGCTTATTCAGGTAATTTTTTCCTCGAAGAATGAATGTGTAAGTAAAAAAATATTGTTTTTTACTCTATATTAAATATATTCAAAACTGGTGAGAACTACAAAAGATATATATATATATACTGTAATTCATTCATTCTGCAATATCACTTATTATGACAAATGGAAAATGCGAGATCAGGCATACTAGTCTTTATTTGTTATATGTTAATCGTTGTTTTGCGCATCACTCAAAATCTAGTCAACGGATTAATCTACTAGTAATCTTTATCTATATAAGATTATGACCTTTTATCGAAGTTTAATATTTTGATGCAATATGTTAAAATGTCAGATGGAGAATATGCATTCATGACATGATGTTTTTGTAGGCGTGTCATACTCTGAGCATTTACTTATGGATTAAAATAGTCCGATATAATTAAATGAAAACTAGGATAAAGGAATAATAATTTATCGAAAAAATAAATAGCGCTTGAGTTTTATTTTATTTTCAGAACTTATACTTCGACGTTAAATAACACACACACAAATAACGATGTTAGTTACTGTAACTGGTGTCAGTTTTCTCTTATTGTCTTTCACATACAGTGTTGGTAAGTGAAATTTAAATAAGTATTGTCAGAAGCACAATTTTTTCTCATATTTAGCTGGTAACTGCTTGGTTGGTGGATGCGGAGCTGGTGCCTGTTGTTCGGCATTTGGCTTTTGTGGTAATACTGTTGAACACTGTCGGGGAGGAGCAGTAGCAGTACCAGCAGCTCCAGTAGCAGCACCAGCAGGAGGAGGTTGTCGAGCCACTGGTTGTGCAGCAGGACAATGCTGTTCGCAATACGGCTAGTGCGTAAATTAAGTCTTTATCTTCTAAATTATTGCATACTTGTATTCGTTTCAGTTGTGGAACTACCGCAGAACACTGTGGTGGTGGTGGTGTTGTTGCTGCTCCTGCCGCTCCAGCTGCTCCTATTATTAATGGAGGTAGTGGCAATTGTCGTGCCACAGGTTGTCCAGCAGGATCATGTTGTTCCGCCCATGGATTGTAAGCGATCGAAATAAAGTGGATGCATACAGTATTAGTAACATTTTTTTTTCGTATCCTTTAGTTGTGGAAACAGTGCTGCTCATTGCGCAGGAGTCAGCTATGGTGGCTGTGGTGCTACTGGCTGTGGTGCTGGTATGTGTTGCTCGCAATTCGGATAGTATGTAATCATAGAAATAATAAATTCGACGAAAACTTTGTTCTTTATCTAGTTGCGGCGCATCTGCTACTCATTGCGCTGTTGCCAAGTTCTTGTCCGGAAAACAACCAGCTTCGCTCGAAGGTAAATTTCAAGGACAAGCGACATATTACAACGAAACAATGGCTAGTTCGGATTATACTACATGTGGTACAAGTCGAGCTCGTTCATTAGATGAAAATAGTGAAAAAATCTATACAGCTGCACTCAATGAAATTCAATTTGATCCATATACTGTTAATGGTATTCCAAGTACAAATCCTGTCTGTCAAAAGAAAGCAATTGCTAAAGGTATCAATGGTGAAATAATTATACAATTTGTTGATCGTTGTCTTAATTGTAAAGAAGGTAAATTCCATTAGCTCAATAATATCAATACATTTATTGAATTTTTTTAGGTGATATTGCTTTAACATATGATGGTTTCATGGCTATAGCTGGTGATATTGGTAATGGTCATACTAGCATAGAATGGCGCTTCCTCTAGAGTGTGAAGAATGCAGAAGAAAAATGTGACTTAAAGATTTTAATTGTTCTAAATTAATTAATTCAATATCTTTTTTTGCTCTTGGTCATTAGCTTTCTGCTTATATCATTTTTATTTATTGCAAAAATAAAATTTGATACATACTACACTATATACAGAAAAGAATAAGATATGCGTTGTTTTTGTCTTTCATTCGAATCTGAAAATCGATTGATATATAGCAACTCTTGCACAATTATAGAGAAAAAAAAGCAAATCTAGAGAATAATATATTTTGTTCTTCTGATTTTATTGTATGTTTATTGATTATTAAATATGAATTTTAAAAAGATATTTTTTCGTTTCAAGTTAATCTTATTAGAATTATTGTCTTTTTATTTATTTTGTTAATATTATTCTTCTCCATCAGTTGGGCGAAGAACTTTGACTGTTGTAGCACCACCCGTTGATGTTGTTCGTCTTGGATTTTGACGTAATACCTTTGTTCGAATAAGTTGAATAAATTCTCGTCGAAATATTTCTGATGATATAAAAAAATTCGCGAATGTTAATGAAAATCCAAAATATACGAGAACATATGTCATATTGCTGGCAAATGATTCACTTGCACGACGAAGTGGAGATAATGTACTATTTACGATGAATGATTGATAAACAAGATAACAAGGATTTGGTATATTTAGAATAAGAAAAAGAAGTATTTGATTTGCTAACATTTTATGAAGTTGTGCATCTTTTTTTGACATTCTACCGGTTTGATTAGCTGGCGCATCATTATTTCCTGGAGCTGGAACAATTCTTTGTTTTGATTGATGAACATGCTTAACAGTGAGTAAACCGAAAATAAGCATTAATGATATGGGAAGAATACCGCTATCAATTGAAATATAAATACTAAAAAATATTCCATATGATCCTCCTCGATAAGAACAATTGCTATTATTGATTTCATAGAAAATGAGAACTTGAATATAAATAATACACCAAAGAATACTATTGGCAATTATAACACGAAGTGCAATCTTTGGTGAACTCCATTGACGACGAAGAGCATCACGTGAACTGGTAAAGAAACGATCAACGATAGCCATAATAAGATTATAACGAGGAACTGCCACAAAAATATAGAATAAATAAAATCGAATTTTACAATACCAAAGTTCATAATTAAGAGCTTTCATATTATACCCATAATGCAACATACGAGTAAAAAGAGCAAAATCAAAGGTAAATAATTGTGAAAAACTTGCAGCAATGAAATACATAGCACAAGGACTTTTTTGAAAAGCTGGTTGAGAAAAGACAATACAATTGAAAATCGAACCAATATTTCCCATGATACAAATTAAACCTAAAGCAACTTGTGAAATGGTCTGATTTAGAAGATTCACGAGTGCAATCATACGAGTATCATAATCGCTCGTACTGGCAATGGTAGTATTTGTTATTGTAATATTCATCTTTTACAAAATCCATAAAAAGAAAATACAATTACTAAAATTATCTTAACAAAAATTAATAAAAGCATTATGACAGAAATATTACCTAATTTTTCCTTCTCGAAATTATGGTGATATAACATAAATTTTACATACTTGTATGAATATTAAATATGCGATAACCCTTTCTGTGAAGTCAAAGAAAAATCTATGATAATTTTCTTTTCTTGAAAATATATAAGATGATTAAAAAACATTTTTTCTGTGAGTTCTTAGCTATTTCAACATTAGTATAATCTTTTGATGATATGTTACTCAATTTCATCTCTTTTTCTCGGATTCTATCGAAAAAAACTTAAAAGTATCGTCAATGTAATATATATTACTTAAAAATAATAACATTGAACTATATAAATTCATCATGACGTAAGTAAAATGCATGGAAATGTTTTCAATTAACTTATATTTATGAGATATTATTATTTTTTAAAGGATTCGCTCAGTTCAAAATAATTAAATATTTTCCAGCATAAGATCAGCGTTATAATGTAAACGGACCGTTATGTATTCTGTAACATTGTTAGAAATATGTTACGATGTGATTTCAAATTTACATAAGGATAAATTTATACTATTGGAAAACCTTTTCGAATGATAAAAACATTACTGAGATGAGAGTTTTGTGTCATTACTCGTTTTTTTCTTATTTGTGTTTGGAGCTACGGTCAGGAGCGTAAATAGGGGTGGGGCGCGGCGCCCTCCTGCTTCCGAAAACTAATAGGAAAAAAGGGGTTTGCGCCCCCCCCCCCCCCCCCTACTTCTAGAAAGTTCACTTTTTTGACCATTGAAATAGAAAAATTAGGGTTACGCCCCCCTGCACTGACACCTGGCTACGGTTATTTTATTTTATATATCTCTTTCGTCAGTTAAGGGATATATCTAATTAAATGCAAATAATATCGATATTTTTCTTGAATTATAAAACTAATAATTTTGTTAATAATGAAATTTCGGTTATATTATATTTTCGACAATTCTATAATCTTTCTAAAGATCATTCTCCTTCAAATTCTAAATATTCAGATTATATCGTAAATAGATAGAAATTCTATTGCGTTCCTAATACAGCGATACAGTGAAGAAAAACAATTAACTATATATACTAGAAGAGCAAATGAAACTAATGCTTTTAAAATTATTTTCTAAGAATGTCAAAATATTCTTTTTGAATTAGATGATTAATATATTGTTTATAATGAAATTGTGTCAGATATTTTTGTCCTTACTGTCTATATTGTATAACATCTACTTACATACTATTTGTAGACATAATTATAATTTTTTTATTCTATATTATTTTTTTAGCGAAGCGTATTCTTATATAAATGTATCTCTATGTAAGTTTTAATTGATTATTGGAGTGTAAAGCACATCATTTATGCGGTTCTATGTGGGTTTTCCTCTTTTTTTTATGTCCTTGACACACGCATGAGAAATTATCATTCTATATCGCAATGATCTCTTAAACAAAAAATTAGATAATAACAGTTGAAATAATATCGAGATTAAACTTAAAAAATCTATTTTCTAATCTTCCATACGAGATTCAATTTCCTTCCAGATAATCGAAAAACAAAATGGCAAAATTATGCATTTTATTTAATTATGACATATTTTAAATAAAAAAGACTCAATATTATAAAACTCGAAAGAATGATGTATCATTAGAAAAATCAGGAAGATTATTTGTCATGCGTTCTTGTCATAACAATTTGAATTTATTATTAACTATAAAGAGATTTCTTATAAAGATATTAAAAGAAGTAGCACTTAATTTCCATCTCATAAGATAAAAATCTACTCAATACCATTAACATTGGGAACTTTGCATCCTATTTCACAAACAAGTCTCAAATCATGTATTATCAAGCTGATTTGAAAGAGATTTTTCTTTTATACAATTATGTGCAATTGTAAAAATAGAAAATCTGTATGTTTTAACAAATCTTAGCTGTCATCAAAAATTACTTCGAAGATATGAAAATGAATAGAATTTATCATCTGTAACACCTACCTTTGAGAAATATGACATGTAAATAAACTGGAAAGATACGCAGTTATATATGTTCTATATGCTTTTAATGAATAGAAGAAAATGAAAGATAAAATGAACAAGTAAGCCTAACAGAGAAAATAAAATTTTCTCTCTAGTGTTGGTTTCAGTTATGAAGAGTAGAAAAGAAAAAATAATAATAATGATGATGAGTAGCGTGATAAATAATCTGAAGAGTCTTCATTAAATATACTTTAATCGAATCCAATTGAGTGATATATGAAGTATTTCTGAGAAAACAAGTGATTTAAGTTGTTAGTGAAAATAATAATAGGAAATTTTCAAATCGAGTCTTCTATACAATAATAGATAATATTGAAAAGGTTTATCTATTACTCATCACGAAAGAAGAATAGATTCGTTACAAATTGAATATCTGCGATCATTCGATCCTAACAGTACATAAAAAAGTGAACGAAAATTATATTGAAAACTAGGATAAGGGAACAGATAAAATATAAATTTCAATAATGAAAGAGAAGCATAACATGATGACAAAAATAAGAAGAGGAAAGAATCGTTTTCGATTTTCTTACGTATTTAATTGAAAATTCTTTATCTAACCAGCTTTTTCTAAATTGACAGAGACTAGCTTTCTCAAAAATAAGATAACCGTCTGTTGAATTGAAAAGCGCTTTAAGTTAAGTCATCAAGTACATGTGCAAAAAAATTTTCATTCCATCCAAGACATACTTTCATGTTGTTTACGAATTAAAAGAGGAAAGACAGGATAGATCAATATAAGTACAGATAGAACATGAGAATAAAATAATACTTAATATCTGCAATTATTAACATATTACTTTGCTGGTTGACTCGTATATATAATTGAAATTATTCAAAAACAAAATTAGCACATGAAGAAAGAACAAGAATAATTAGTTTAAATTCAGATGCATGTGTGAATGAGAATGATGGAGCGGTTTGAACAGATATAAGTATATGTAACGTTATTCTTAAATAAAAAAAACCGAATGACTACCATCACACCCTCAGTGAATTGCTGAAATAGATTAAAGTACAGAAAGAATTCTGAAGATACATATTTATGCAATTGAACTCTATGAAAAAGAATTCAAATTTCTACGTCATTCATTCATTCGTTTTTTTTTTTTAATATATCATATATAAATTAATTCCTTAGAAAAAAAAGATGTCCAGATATATTTATAATCATCATAAATTATTCTAATGGTAATGTTTAGTTTTTATTTAGTCCTGAACAGTTTTCTTAAGATTATTCAAGAATTCATCGAAAGACAATAGTCCATCACCATTATCATCAAATCGTTCACGCATATCATCAAAACAAAATCCCGGTATTCGTTCACCGCATAATGTAATACCATGTCGTGCTTCTCGTTGTGATATAAGACCATCTTTATTACTATCAACTTCATTAAACGCTTCCTTTAATTCTGCAATAACAATTGGATTATCAAAATTTGACGTTTCTGCTCGCATAAATTTTTTAAATTGTTCAAATGTAATCCATCCTGTATTGTCGCTTAATTCAGAAATATATTTATCAATTGCTGCACTACGAAAACCTTGTAATGATTCATTATCAAAGACTAAACTTCGAAAATCAGCCGTTGAAATTCTTCCTGTTTTACCTAAAGATAATTTTTAACAGTGTATTCAATGAGAAACAAACTAAAACGAACCTTTATCAATACTATCAAACTCTCGTTGAATATATTTATCGTCTGGAAATTGCATTGTTACTAACTTCTTTTTTACTCGTAATAAAACGTCTAAAAAACGAAATAAACGTTGCTTCTTTTTATGAAAATGAATAAACGATAGAACAAAAATGTGAAAGAGAACAGAACGAAAAACTACACCATCATATACATTTTTTTATGTGTCGAAACCAAGCAATTTCTGTTTTTATTGATTCTTGTCACAGGTAAGGAGAAGAGGAAGAAGAAAAAAAAAGCATGCACATCGTCCACGCGTATTTTGTCTCTCACATATATTTTTACTTCGATGAAGAAAACGTCAGTTTTATTTACATATCATTATTGAAATTGAAAGGCATCAGTCTTTTATCAAACAATGAATAAATAGATGTCATTTGTTTGTTAACAACTTAAACTTCTTTATAAAACTATATAAATGCTAAAATAAATATTTAAATATGTCTTTATGAATAAATTCTTTTCAAACAAAATATTATATATACGTTTTGTTATTTGATATTCATAGAAGATAGGATAAAAATCACATCTGATTTCATTCTACGCTCATAAGCATTAGATAAAATGCTCGGGTGTAGTTTGTAAAAGACACATCTAATCTGTTTTTCTCCATAAAAGAGGAGGTGTGAATATTCAATAAGTCATTACAGTCTCGACAGTGAAATTGATTGTTTGATAGATTATTACCGTGATTTGGAAATGACATTTATCATATTTCAAAAAAAAAAGATTAATTTGTATTTATGAAGGAATAATGTCATTGATTTCGTTTGTTCTTCTTGATATTTGACCATAACTTTTAAATAAAAATCATCATTTTTTAAAAATACTTAAGGAAGAAAATGTCATTATATTTGATCTTTGATTAATGTACATAATAAAGACAAATCACAAAGTGAAAAATCAAATCAAAAACATGGTTGCCATCATCGGAACAGCATTACATTGGTCCGATATACTAGTTTTATTACTCTATTTTCTACTCATTCTCGGTTTTGGAGTTTGGGTAAGAGAAATTAAAGAAAACGTATTTAATTATTTGATTGTTTTTTTTTCAAATAGAGTTCATGCAAAAATCGTGGCAGTGTTGGTGAGAAAATATAGTTATATTCATTTTTATTGACTAAGAGCTTGAGATTTTTTTTTATTCAGGTGGATATTTTCTTGCTGGTCGTTCCATGCATTTTATCCCGGTAAAAAATCTTCAAATATTTTTTTGTCAATTTTCATTCAATTTTCTAGGTGGGTGCATCCTTATTTGCATCGAACATTGGTAGTGGTCATTTCATTGGTCTTACTGGATCTGGCGCTTCGAGTGGGATTGCTGTCGCCGGCTTTGAAATAAGCGTAAGAAAAGAATACTTTTTTTTTTTTATTAAGAACATTTTCTATATAACAGGCAGTTCATTGGTTAATGGTACTTGGTTGGTTATTCGTTCCAGTTTATATGAAAGCAGAAGTATTTACAATGCCACAATATATAAAAATGCGTTTTGGTGGTGAACGTATTCGTGTTTATTTAACATTTCTTGCATTAATGTTATCAATTTTTACAAAAATCTCTGTTGATCTTTATTCTGGTGCTATTTTTCTTCAACAAGCTTTAAATTGGAATCTATATGCTTCAGTTATTGCTCTGATTCTTCTTGCTGCATTCTTTACTGTTGGTGGTAAATAGGAAAAAATATAAAAAACTATATTTTTCTGATTAAAATAAAAATTTTGATCTAGGTGGTTTAACAGCGGTTATTTGGACAGATTTTATACAAACAGTGATTATGGTTATATCAGCTTTTATTCTGATGATTATCAGTATGTTATTTCTATGAATGAAAATAATTAATTTTAACGTTAAAAATAGGTTTTATCAAAGTTGGTGGTATGCAACAAATTCGAAATCTCTTTCCATATGCAATTGCACAGACAACATTACATAATACGAGTGAATGTGGTGTACCTACTGAACATTATTTCTCATTAATTCGTCCATTTGATGCTGATTTACCATGGTTTGGGATCATTTTTGGAAATGGAGTTGCATCTATTTGGTATTGGAGTTGTGATCAAGTGATTTAAAAGATAGAGAATAATAAAGAAATATTTATTTGAATATTAATCTAGGTAATTGTACAACGAACATTGGCAGCAAAAAATCTAACACATGCAAGAGCAGGATGTCTTGTTGCAGGAATATTAAAGCTTTTACCATTATTTCTTATGGTATTTCCTGGTGAGTGAATTGATCGTTTGCAAGATGAAAAAGATTGTTTTATAATTTTAATAGGAATGATTGCAAGAATTCTTTTTCCAGGTATGAATATTTCTTTAATTATATGTCAAAACTAACTTTAATATAGATGAAATCGGTTGTGCTGATCCCGATGTATGCTATCAAGTTTGTCATAGTCGGAATGGTTGTAATGATATTGCCTATCCACTTCTTGTACTTCGATTAATGCCCAATGGTAAATCTTTAGTTTATTTTTTCAAAAAAAAAATCTTTTTCTTCTTCTTAGCAATTCGTGGTTTAACATTAGCTTGTATGATTGCAGCTTTAATGTCTTCATTAACTTCGATCTTTAATTCGAGTTCAACTATTTTTACAATTGATATTTGGCAACGTTTTCGTAAAAATGCATACGATTGGGAGTTGATGATCGTTGGCAGGTAAAATAAAGAAAAGATTTATTTGAAAAATAAGAACATAAAATTATATTGAAGAGTTTTCGTTATGATTCTTGTGGGAATATCAATTCTTTGGATTCCAATTATTCGCGCAGCACAAGGTGCAAGATTATTCGATTATATTCAAGCTGTTCAATCATTTTTAGCACCTCCAGTTGCTGCTTGTTATTTACTTGGAATTTTATGGAAACGAATCAATGAAGAAGTAATTTATATAGAATAATAATTTTTTTTGGTAATTTCAATTTTAGGGAGCATTTTGGGGTTTAATATCTGGTTTATTTATTGGAATATTTCGATTTATTTGGGAATATTCTTATACTGCAATGCCTTGTCAACTTGAACATTTAGATAAGCGTCCATCAATAGTTCGATTTAATTTTCTATATTTTTCAGTTCTTCTTTTCATAATTTCCGGTATTGTGACTATTGTTGTTAGTCTTCTAACAAAACCTATTCCAGAAAAATATGTAAGTTATAATTAATTTTCTCGCTAGAATATAAACTTTCTTGTCTAGATATCACGTTTAACTATTTTTGATCTTGATAATCCAGAAAAAGCAATTGAAATTCCTACTCGACCGGGATGTATGCATAAAGCAAATACATATTATGATGAAGAACAATCTTATTCTTTGGAAAATTCATCTTCATATCATATTGATCAACTTCCTACTAAAACTGAAAAGAAAGCTTTACATTTTTTTGAAACAGGTATTAATATCAAATCTTTTTTTTTTAAATTAAAAAAAAATCTTTTCTCTTCAGATGATACAACAGGAATTGTTTTCTATTTAAAAACTGCCTTTGCTTGGATTTGTGGTTTAGAAAAATCTGATGAACTCGAGGGTCAAGAAATTTCTTCGGATAATCATTCACAAGATAATAGCAGTCATCGACGAAGTATCACTTCAATTTATAATGAACATGTTTCATCATGGCATAAATCATGCTCTTATGTTGCTATTTTTATACTTTCTTTATGTGGTTTTGTTTGGGCGTTTTTTACTGATTATCGAGTACGATTAAATTAGAAAGTAGAATTATTCAATATATATTTTCTTTATCTATCAATCATAAAAATATGTCAAAATCGAGGATAAAATTAATGAACTGGGTGTGGGTGTTGTGTTCATCTCTCGCACTCATCTACACCCTGTTAGTTTATATTATTAGATGACTAGTATTTTATAAATTATAAAATCAATTATTTCTATTAACAGTATTTCGTTGAATTCTAATATTGAAGAATGGATATAAATATCTTATTTCCATTTACACCTTTTAAATATTCTCAAAGATTTATTCATAATGATTTTAAAATAGCATGATACATCGACCACAAATAATTTCAGTTAATAAAGTTCAATGATATAATCGTAATAGTTTCAAAAAATATTAGATTTGAAAAAGTATATGCATGCATTTGTATTGTATTTCCTATAAATAAACAATATTTAACTAATACAATGATCTGTTATATACGAAAGAATGATCTCATTTCTCAAAACTAATAATTACAAATAAATCACTGTTTTGCTGTTAATCATTTTTTGATTGTTAATTGAATAAGAAGTATTAATTTATATAGACTATTTCGATACTAAATGATTAAAAATTTAATGTATCTTATCTACATTTTTATGCTTCTTATAGCATACATAGATGGTACAAAATATTCGACGTACTTTCTAGTTACATTCATCTATAAATAGTATAGTAACAAAAATATACATTTCCTAAATGGTAAACACTATATATTCAAATGAGAATCATCGTGAGAAAGAAAAAAATTACACCGACAATTGCACATATAAAAAGTTTATATACGAATTCGATCTTATTGTAATTCCATTCAGATCATGAAATTTTTCACTCAATAAATGAAATCAAGTATCAATTATTTTGAATGATGTAATTGTTACTATTATACGCACTTCTCAATAGTTTACGTTATCAGCTTACTCTTTTTTCTCGTATGTCTATTTTTATCGCCTTACAACACCCTACATATGAAAAGTATCTTTCTATTATATTTTTAAATGTAAAAAACGTATAACTGTTGTTTTGAATGTCTCGACCATTTCGAAAATGGTGTCAGAGTACAATGTGAGTTTTTCTGGATGTAAATATGGATGATTTTTTAGTTAAAAAGACCATAAGATAGTATTATAGACTTCAATTCTGCTAGTTTTGACTTTGTTGCATTCGAACATAGAGAATTGAATATTCAGTGTTCTGGTGAATCTGTATCATGTATAATATCTGTCTGGTAATTCTCAATAAATATCAGAAGGTTTCTGTGTTTCCATGCTTCTTCTTTTTCTGTTATTTGATGTCCATGATGATATTAATCTTACTGATCTTTTTATCTATCCGTGTTGTGTAGTCGAAAAATTAAAACAATTTTCTGACTAAATAAAACGTTTGAAATCGCCGCTGGATTTTGGCGGCATCTACAAGGTATTTTATATTAAGAATGTAACAAGAATATTCAAGACGAAAGTGAAATATTTTATTGAATTTATCATGATGTAGAGAAAATGATATTAACGCAGTCTAATTATACGAATCATAACTATCTTCAGATATGACTACATACTTGTATTAAATGAAAATTTGCGATATTTTCTCTGCAAACCTGAAAGCGAAAAAAAGTGTTTTTTGTTCTTGGGAAAATAAAATAAACTAAATCGTTTACAAGCATCACCTCGACACCTTTATATTGTTCAAGTTATATTGGACAATCGTATTTAATTGTTAGTTAGAGATGCTGACGACTATCTGCAGTTGTATTTAAGTTGCCTAAATTTCAATCAATTATCTAAAATATTATATTATAAGAACATAATGGAGAATATATAAAATATAATTAATCAATACAGTTAACTTTTATTTATTATTTTATATATATAAATATGTAGTTCTCATCAAATTCAAGATGATTGATGCTACAAATATATAATTTATCATAATTATCTTAAATTTTATAAACAAGATTAAATCAGAAATATATAACTTTATTTAAGATACTAAAAAGAAAAACATAAATAAATAAAAGCACATAGAAAAATTAAAATTTATAATGAGTAAAAAAATGAAAAATAAAAAAAGACAAATAAATTTTTTGTTATAATTGTTCATATAGTACGTATTATCAATTTGAATATGAATAAACTGAAAGCTATACCATCAGCCTTTGCATATGTTCAAAAAAACAGACAAATCATTAGTTTTAGCATTAGTTACAGCCAGATCTACTTTATTATCCTTATTTAGATCACCTATGACTACAGAAGTGGGTTTACCACCTGCTTTATACTTGGTCTGATTTTGAAAAGTTCCATTTCCATAACCCAACAACACACTAACACTATTACTACCACTATTAATCACTACTAAATCGATATTTCCATCATAATTATAATCACCTGCTGATACACGATATGGAGTTCTTCCAACTGTAAAATTGTTTGCAATACCAAAACTTCCATTGCCCTTGTTGAGAAGTACACTAACAGTATTAAAACCAGAGTTAGTAACTGCTAAATCAATATTTTTGTCATTATTAAAATCACCAGCAGCTATAGCACTCGGTATTCTACCAACATTATAATCATTTGAATATATGAATGTTCCACTTCCATTATTAAAAAATATACTAATTGTATTATTATTTTTATTTGTCACTATTAAATCTTGTTTTCCATCTTTATTTAAATCAGCAGAAATGACACACGTCGGAGATCCTTTAAGTTGATATGTATCATGAATTTGAAAAGTACCATTCGTTTTTCCAAATAGTACACTGATAGAGGCATCTATCGAATTAGCCACTACTAGATCTAGCACATTATCGGAATTGAAATCTGCTGAAAATGCATACGAGGGTGATGTACCAACTGTGTAGTTGATGGGAGTATCGAAAAATCCATCACCACGGCCAAAAAGTACATCGATGGTGTTGTTATTTTGATTGACTACTACTAAATCTTGTTTGGTATCATTATTAAAGTCAGCTGATAAAACATGAACTGGATAAGTACGAACTGTATTATTGAGTGGAGCTTGAAAACTTGTATTTCCATTACCAAGTAACACAATGATACTGTTACTATCTTGAGCAATTAATGCAACATCTTGATTATGATCACTATTGAAATCATATGATATTAGCCATTGGGAAAATTTACCAATGATAAAATCAATTCCACTGATAAAAGTACCATTTCCGATACCAAGTAATACAGTCATAGTATAGTCAAAATCGTTTACTATTGCCAAATCTATTTTATTATCATTGTTGAAATCAGCAGCAATAATGTCTAGTGGGGAGTTATTAAATGGAGACAGGATGCTAGGCTGAAAAGTTCCATCACCATTACCAAGTAACACATAGATACTGCCACCACCACCACCGTCTACTACTGCTAAATCGGCTTTACTATCATTATTAAAGTCAGATGTTGTCAAAGCAACTAAGCCTTTACCGACTGACGCAAGAGTGGATGTTGCAAAACTTCCATCTCCATCGTTAAGCAGTATGGTGAGAGTGTCATCATCACTATTGATCACTATCAAATCCAGTTTTTTGTCATTATTTAAATCAACTTCTATCATATAAAGTGGATTAGAACCAGTGTCATATGGAATTGGATCATCAAAACTCCCATTTCCAAAACCAAATAGAACATCAATGTAGGCATTGAAATAATACGATACTGCTAAATCCATGTTGTTATCACCATTAAAATCCCCAGATAATATCACATATGGAAACTCATCAACTGAAAAGGAGATACTATCTGGAAATAGACCGCTTCCATTGTTAAAAAGTAAAGTAACAGTAGAGTCATCTCCGTTTGTTATTGCTAAATCCAATTGATCATCATTATTAAAGTCAGCAGAAGTTATACCATACGGACCTCCACCAACATCATAATCGACTGCAGTCAGAAATAGACCATTTCCCGAGCCTAGTAAAACACTGACTGAGTTGTCTCCTGTGTTGGTGACTACAAGATCTATTTTCGTATCGTTATTCAAATCAACTGCTATCATAACAGCTGGCGTATCGCCAACAGTAGGTTGTGTACTTCGAAAAATTTGCTCCTTATCACCACCTAATAGTAAAGTCACACTATTTTCTAGTGAATTTGATATTGCAATATCGAGATATGTATCATTATCAAAGTAACCCAGTACAGATGATGATGGATATTTTCCAGTATCGATAGTATTATCTAGTCGAAATGGATTCTCGCATACATATTCTAAAAACAAAATAATAATGAAACATAGATTGAACAATAAATATGATAGAATTATAATCTCTGATATAAAGACATCTGAGTTTTCTATTATCTTAAAATAAATTTTCATACTTGTTGTTTTTGATTTTGTTCCCAAAATAACACCAATAATAACACCAGCAATAAATAGAGTAAGCAATAAACAAGTTGGAATCATAAATCTTTTCTTTCGATAAAATGGACGTCTTATAAGTAAAAAAAAAGAAATAATTTCATCAAATAAAATAATTAGATGAAACTTACGGAATTTTTGGATAAATATGTGCACCTAAATATTAAAAAAAAATATTATTACTATATATATATATAATAGATGATTGAAATACCTTCAAATGGTGGTTCAAGTGTCATCATTTCTGGTTCGACTTGTTTCAAATGAATAATATATAGATTAGCTGCTGGACTAAGTTGTGATTGAACAATCATATGAGTACCAGACATAAGAACAATTTCATCTTCAGTAACAAAATGTGAATGTGCTTTTATTGTTCGACCATTCATAGCTTCGACAGAAAAAAGTGTTCGATCACCTTCTTGACCCAAATACATATTATTTTCGAGTACAGTCATTTCAGTAGTACATGATGAAAATGCCCACCATGTCATTGCAGTACCAGGTGGGAATTCTGCACTTAAGTTTTTAGTTACTCCTCTCCAAACAGTTAATGGTGGAACACATGGTAGTTTAACAAGAGCAGTTAAAAATAATTTGATATATCTGTGAAAAGGTAGAAGTGCTTGATTATCATTATTTTTGAGATTAAAATTGAGTGTTGAATAGAGACTTCGATGAGGTTTATCCCATTCAATTGTATAAAGACGAATTGCAGCACTTTCATCAACTGATAATCCATCAGGTGGTTGTTCTGGCGTTTCCTCTAGTGCTAACTGAACATAGAATGATAAATTATAAAAAATATCATTTAATGGAGCACATGCTTGTGCAAGTGGTAACAAAGGTTCTTCGGAATATCCTAGAATAGGACTTATTTCAGTTCCATCACTTTTGGTGATATCTTTAGTAGCAGTCTCTGTAAGCTTTTGATCTTGTTGATTCGTGGTATTTCTATCAATATTAGAATCTTCTTTTGGTATCATTGTTTGTCTTTGATCGAGTATTGCTTCTCGATTAAGATTTTCATCTGTTGTATCGAACTGATGTGTTGAACCATTCTTAATATTGGCTCTTGGATTTCTTGACTTTTTACGTTCGTTCGTTACATTGTCATCGAAGAGAATACCTGTAGATGCTGTTTGTATGCCAACATTTCTAGTCCGTATGTACTGTCGATAATTTTCCGGTTCATCGTCGAGTCTATTTGCAGTTAATTTAGTTTGTATGCGAACGTTTCTGCTAAATTTAGGTTGTTGATAATTTATTTGTTGATCATTGAGTGGAACTTCTATTTCTCTTGTATAGATAGGAAAATTGTTGGTTTGCATTGTTTGCCATTGTGAATAATCGCTCATATTTGTTTGTTTTCGAAATGAATAATGATAATCTATAAGAAAAGATTAAATATTTCTTATGATGGAAAAAAAACAAATAGTTGATGATCAATATCTATAGATTTCATTTCAAATATTATTATTGTCTTTCAAGATAGAAATATGAAGACAAAAAAAATCTATCGTTGTAATTTAGTCGATCGCTAATCAATGACGAATTCTATATTATTATAGCTGAACAATACATTTTATATTTGTTATTCATATTATTCTAGAATATTTCTCTGAATGTATATCTTAAGATTATAAAAGTGAACTTAAAGATTCACTATAACAGATAAATACAAAAAATAAAATTAATTTTTTTTTAATTTTTCAATCAAATGATTATATATATATAATTAAACATGATAAAATGTGACAAAATATTATTTTAATATTATCAGACGAGTAAAGGAATTACTTAAATGGATTATTACATGATATTTGTTATTTTGTTTTGTAATATTTACCGTTAGAAAGTATTCGATGATGACTGAAATGAAAAATGAATAAATATACGTAATAAGTAGTTAAGTAACGAAATAGAAAAGAAAATTATGAAAACAAAATCGAACGTTGTTATTTCTTTCTTATAAAGTAGTAATGATTATGCATGAATGCTTTCTATCTTATATTAACAAAAACAATGTATTATGATAAATGGATATAAACACAATTTTCTATTTCTTGTCATAAACGTACTTTTACCTTGAGTTATAATATGAAGATAGAAAAAGAAAAATATTTATGAGAAGCGCAGTTACCTTTTTTTTTTAGCAAATGACTGGTGATTTCTCAGATCCTAATAATACTAAGAAGCGCATTTACCTCAAACCTATTATATACACATGTTCGAATGTGAAAGGTTTTATTTACAATTTTATTTTGTGTGATTTTAGCTTCTTAAGCATATGCAATTAAATTTATCTCACTTCTTTCGTTCGCACGATAATAGTAAGGCATATTTTTCTCTTAACACTCCAATTACACATACGAGCTGTATTTGTACATGTTTTGAGTCACCTGGAGATTTATTCATCATATAAAAAATATATAAAAAATCGATAAAGAATTATGAAACATGTTTTATAGACAACAGAGTACAGTTCTAAACAGATCAATAAATTTTTTATTAATCAAATTAGAAATGTTGTATTCAGAATTTAATTATTTTCTATTCATGATTAGAACAAAATTTCAAGCATGTTTTCTGTTTAATTTATCTGCTACAAGTAAATATAAATACGAATGTCATAGTCAATTATCATCTATTTACATTTATCCATTTATGTAAAAAAAAAAAACCGGTTCGAATAAAATATACAAGATGCATCATATTAAATTCATTATGTTGAACATTCTCAATTAGTAATCTGTAATACCACTTCTTTATTTCCTTCTCTGATCAATAAAATGCACTTTAGATCAAGAGATTATTAAATGAACAAAGAAAAAGAAGGAAGTGAGATGATATTACATCGAAAGAAAAAAGATAAGAACTATAGAAATGTTGAAATTAATCAAACTTCGTAAATGTTTATCACGATTGAAATTCAATATGTATGTGTCCCAGGCAAAACTTGCTTTTATTCCGCGCGAAAAATTGAGTTTTGTTTTTTTTCTTGGTCGGGCAAATCAGTAATAATTGATAAGATAAATAACGTATCAATTGATTAAGAAAAACTTATTTTAAAATATTTTATTGAGTGGAAATGACAAAACTTACTCAATGAGATAAAAATAATTATTTTACTCATCTCACTCATGAAAAAAATTTATGATATTCTTTAACACAATTTTCGTTATATTTTGTTTTAAACATCTACCGCATTCTACATTTTTCTACAACTATATTCATTTTTTATTTGATACATCTTCCAAAATTTATGCTCATTTTTTAAGATACAATTTGCGATCTCTACATCTTTCAAAAACTATATTGTTTTTTTTATTAAATATGTCACAGTTAACATGAGAATTCAGTTGAGTTTGGAATGTGCGAAAATTTAAAAGAAAACAAAAATATAGAAAAAGATTTTTCTATTAGAATAAAATAGATTATTTGTATAGTATCGCCCAAGAAAAAAAACATATATTAAAAACAACTAATAAAAAACTAGGTGACTCATTGCATCATATATATTTTTTTTCGATGTTTTTGTGTTTTCTGTGCTCGTCATTTAGAATTAAAAGAAAAAATATCGAGCAAGATTTTTTTGTTAGAATAAAATAAATAATTTGTATAATAGTTTCCAAAAAAAACATACATTAAAAGCAATGAAAAAAAAATTGGCGAACTCATTTTGTCATATATTTAATTTTTTTTCAAAATCTGCGTGTTTTTTGTGTGTTCGTCATTTATTATATATTAATTTACTCAATGTTTAGTATTATAAAGATATAAAATAATTGATTGTCTCATAATATATTATTATATAGCTTCCCTAAAATTATTATTTCCATAAATTTTGCTAAGATCTACTAAATTAAATATTTATGTCGCTTGTGTAAATGAACTGTATTCTATTTATCGCGATTCGTTACTATGAAACATATAATGATTAAACATAAGCTATGACGACATTTTTAATTAGATAAATCGATGTATTTTGTTTTTATAATTAAAATATTACTATTTGATGGAAATATTTAATGAGAAAATAATACACAATCGTACGTTTCCGTTGCCTTATGTTTATTTAACTACTAACTCTCATTTTTTCTTGAATGTGATCGTAAATTTTAAAATCTGTTTATCATATTTCTTTCTTTGATTTATCATCACACATAATAAACATAATCTAATTGAAAATATTCATGTCTTTTCCTTTGTAACCGATTTTAAAAATACTTACGAAATCTCAATTACAGAAGAAAAAAATCTACGTAAAACTCTCTTATATTTACCATATTATTCTCCATCAATAAAATCGATTTTTTAATCTTGTTAGCATAAAAAAGAAATACAATATAATAAAAACTAAACAATTCATTTTTAGCCAATAGTCAATGCCCCCATGTCCTCATTATCAAAAAAATAGTTAATATATTTAAGAACGAAACACTGACAAAATCAATTCTACGTAATCAGAAATACTCTATTATCATAAAAATTCTTCTTAAAATCTACATACAATTTATTATTAGCGGAAATATGATAATTTTATAAAATTAAAACTATAACCTTCTTCTAATTTTATTTATAAATAGCTCACAGCTATAAAATACCACAAAAACTTCGAAAAAAAAATATTTTATTAATTTTAAACCTATTTTAAACTCATCTGCGACAAATATAACTTGCGAACTCTACATCTTTCTAAAGTTTTATTCATTTTTTATTGAATACAACTTAAGAAATTTACAACTTTGAAAAATTGAAAATAATAATAACAACTGAATTATATTTTGAAATTTGTTTTAAAATCACATGATCATAGAATCATCTTAAAATCAAGTTTACTTAGTTCTGCCTGACACATATGCATTTATCTATTTGTTGAGCCTATAGTTCAAAAGTTTCGAAGAAGTTCACATTCTCACACATATAGAAATGTTCAAATTTATACAACAATTTTAAGATGCTTTTTTTTGTATAAAATATAGATTGACTACGCTTGAACGTCGTCAGAGCGATATTCTTTGCATTTCAAGATCTTAATAAATAACACATTTTTAAAAATTAAAAATATCTTAACAATTATTCTATATCTGAATGTAGAAAGGAAATAATATCAACGTAGGCTAACTATACGAATCATAAATATCTTCAGATATGACTACATACTTGCATTAAATGAAAGTTTGCGATATTTTCTTTGCAAACCTGAAAGCGAAAAAACGGTTTTTTGTTCTTAGGAAAAGAAAAGAAATTAAATCGTTTACAAGCATCACCTCGACACCTTCATATTGTTCAAGTTATATTAGACAATCATATTTAACTGTTAGTTAGAGATGCTGACGACTATCTGCAATTGTATTTAAGTTGCCTAAATTTCAATCAATTATCTAAAATATTATATTATAAGAACATAATGGAGAATATACAAAATATAATTAATCAATAGAATTAACTTTTATTTATTATTTTATATATATAAATACGTGATTCTTGTCAAATTCAAGATGATTGATGTTACAAATATATAATTTATCATAATTATCTTAAATTTTATAAACAAGATTAAATCAGAAATATATAACTTTATTTAAGATACTAAAAAGAAAAACATAAATAAATAAACGCAAATAGAAAAATTAAAATTTTATAATGTGTGAAAAAGTGAAAAATAAAAAAAAGATAAATAAATTTTTTATTATAATTGTTCATATAGTACGTAT